TATGGAAACCTCACAGAGTAACCCAGTGAGCCATCTTCTGTTCAGTTGCCTTCCCTTTACTGGGTATGATCTGCTAAAGCCAGACATTCTTTAGGAGGATGAAATTGAGCCACAAGGTAGAGCGATAGCTCAGGTGTGTACTGCTCTCCACCCGCCATAGGTGACTACCAGTGTGCAGATGGCTGAAATCTGTTCACAGAAACCCCACTGATGGACATGAGAGCTCCAGCTGTGTGGGTAATTGGAATAGTTTTCTTGGCTGCTCATTATTAAGACCTCATGAGTGCTGAAAGCCTGATCTGCTATGCTCTAGAACCCTTAGCTCTGGTGGATTTCCAAACCTACCTGGTCACTTGACTAAGTTGAAAAGGGTTTTATGGTGCTTAGCAAGAAAGGGAAATGCTATAGCTACATCATGTAGAGTAGATTAAAGAGTTGCAGTGTAGCCAGAGATGAGTTATTCTAGTCTGAGCTCCTGACGCATAAACTTGTGAATACAGCTGTAGGATCATGATCATGAAGCAGCTTTTTCAATTTTCATGATAAACTTGGGAACGATGCGGGAAAGAGGGAATCAAATTCCCCATGTTGTTGGGAATTTACTTTTTTGGCAAATGAAAAATTAAAATAAATAAGTGAAACTATATAACCCATTTAGAAAATATTATCACCATTTTTTTGGTCTAAAAACTGTTGTGCAAACGTAGCAAGAGCTTATGAATATCATCAGACAAATGAAAAAGTTTTTTTAGAACCTACTTTACGATGTGAAAAGTTTTATGCTGGTCTATTTCAATATATTGCTACTTATTACAGCTAAAGTAACATCTACATGGCACAGTCTTGTGCCATGAGAAATACTCCCACTTCTGAATGAGTTAGCATGATCCGCTTTTCAGGATAATTAGCTATGTGGGAAAGAATTTATTAACTCATGCAATGTCATGCTAACATAGGTACTTGGGTCCTGTTAGCTAGATTAGGTCCTACTTCTGTTAGCTAGATTAAGTCAGGTATCGCTTTGTGAAGCTAGTTGTACTATGTAAATATCTTCAGTGCTCTGACATCATGGTCCAGCTGTGCTAGACATCTCAGTGAGCATTCATTTGGTCAAAAAACACCTGTATTTATGGCAGCTGTATGTAAGGCATTGGAAATTCATTAGGTTTTTCTGGGATTCATCCATTAGTGTTCTAATGTCTCATTTGTATGCGTCTTTCAAAATACCATTCCAACTCTCACTAATTTACCAAAATCTTTATAAAAGAATTTTCATTGATTGAAAATCTTAGCTTAGAAGCATGAGATATTTGCAAGTTTTGAAGTCTTGTTGATAAATATTTTGTGATGTGTTTGTGATCTGGCAGATACAAGCTTATGGTTAAGCTTTTTCTATAAATAGAACCATCTCTTGAATTTCTTTTGTTAATGTTAATTGGTATTTCATGTTCACGGAGGCTAAAATTGGCAGTCTGGCAACCCTTGCTTTCTTTCTGTTTGTGATTGTGATGCTGATAGCCTAACTATGAACTTCCTTGTGCAGCACTGCTAGTAACTTCCAGTCTGATAGATGGTTTTTTCTCGAAATGAGAAGTAATTGAATCTCAGTGCTTACCAGTTCCTTGTGTGTGTTTTGAAGAGAGACCACCAGCTGTGTTGTGTTGAATTAATTGTGCTTATTTCAGTGATGGGTATATCTGTCCAGTGAGAACATAAAATTTCGTCATTTCGAGGAAGTCTAGGGGTTGATTTTGAACTCAGTGGAAGCAGGATGGTTAAAGCATTAAAACTGTCTACTTCTATTCTTACTGGATGTTCAGTCCAGAATTGCAAAGCAGTGCGGTATTCGTAACTTACACCTTTTACTATAATGCTGTGCAGATTTTTCCAGCTGAAATATCTCAGTCCTTGACTTGCAACCTATATTCAAGTATGAAGAACTCTATTGTATATGTTTGAGGAGATTGTGGCATTGCTGGTACCCTTTCTAGGACAAGCACAGATACTGCTGCTGAATGAAGTGGTAGAGAAGTTCTTTTAGCCCAGTGATACTTGTGAATATTGCAAGGCTAGCAGGGGCTATGCCGAGCGTGTCCAACAGAATTGTTTGTTCAGTGACGGAACTGTGACTAACTGCTAAATTGCTGTGTATATCAGGGCCAAAATGCAATAAGGCATTTTAACTCTCTGGGCTAATGTCTCCCAAATGCATTTCTGAAGAGATTGTCTTATAAAGGAGCAAGGAGGTGGCAGCGGGGTTGGCCAGGTATGGACACAGCTGTGTGTAATCAAAACAGAAAAGCTGTACAACAGTGCAACTGAATCATTCACGTACTGTGCCAACTGGTGCTAATGGAGAACAGAGCTCCTTTATTCCTCCCTTGCTGCCTCCTTAGTAAATATGCATTTAGGCCAAACACTCAAATAATGTTCTGTGTCAAAAAATATTGACACAATCAAATGATGACTGTAAGCGTTTGGAGGTTCAGCTGTCTCCTTTCATGGGATAAATCATGCAGGTTACTTGTGGAAGCCTTTCTTCTTTATTTGAAGTTAATATGCAGCAAGTTTGATGTGGGAGTGTAAGTATAAGTTGCTTACTGCAAATACTGTGCTACTGTGAACAATCTAGACGTTACACACAGTTATTTTGATTTTACTGCAGCTTCTTTAACAAAATAGCCTAGTTCTTGCAGCTAAATTTGAGGAAATACACGGCTGATGTATAAAATGTCTGTGCAGAGTGACTGGATGTAGAGATTTGGAGCTCTGTAGCACTTCCTTATAAAATTGGAATGAATTAACATTGGGTACTTCCCTGAAAAACCCACCTCCCCGTTGTGTGTGTGCACAGCTCCTAAGATATTTTTAAGATACCAAGAATACAAGAATAAGGTATTCTAATTTTGTCATGGCTTGTACGTATAGATATAGTATTTTTTTTACACAGCTTAGCAGTACCTTGGAGTGTTGTTTTCTTAAAATTTCTATGCTGTTGGACTTTGTGATAAACAAATCAGTGATGTTTAATGCCAGAACACTACAAATTCCATTATAGAGAATGGAAGATATTTCAGAAATGTAAGGTTGGAGGTTTTAGTAAAAATGCAGTTTTTGTAAGTGAGAACTTATCTTTAATAAAACATGCTTTATAGCATGCTTTTTAAAGATGTAATACTGTCAGGATTTAACTAGGTCTTTATTCAGATTAGATTTAGTATTTTAGAATAGCTTTTAAAATATTTGTAACCGTACACAAATAGCTATTATGCCACATGTCTGCTGATCCTAGTTTATTTATTGCCTCTTATGGAAGTAACTTAAACTTGTTCTTGACCTGCAGGATCGTAATAGAACTACAGTGCACTTCTAAACTGTGCAGCTCTTAACTATTCTCAAGAAATTCTTTTCTTAATTATATCTGGATATATTTGTTTGTCCAGGTTGCTTTGGTGTTGCTTTATTGCACAGGCAATGCTACCTAACAGAGTACTGTGTGTTTTGGGGAGGAAGAAAAGAAGGGAGATGAGGTTCTATATCTTACAGTCTCTCCTTACTGCGTCTGTTACCTGAAGTGTGCCATATTGAATAACTTTTGTATGTTTAGTTGGTACTATGATATTTTTCCCTTGCTCCTTTAGAGCATGGTATTATAATTTTCTTTATTATCATGAGCTATGGCAGCTGTCCTGCAGTCCTGGTATTATGAAGGTTGTATGGGACACAGCACATTTGAATGCTCAGTTATGCCTAACCCAGGAGATGCAAAATTGGGAAGAAAATGAATTCTATCAAATCAATTAAAGATTTTAATAAAGAAAAAGCAGATTTTTATTATGAGGAAATCTTTATGGGAAAACCACAATTGATATGTAAATATGGTATGTCCAGCCACTCAAAACCCACCAGATATAATGTAAGATTGTTAAAAAACTTAAAAAAAACCCCAAAAATCCAGCAGTTTTATCTTTGTCATTTTGACTCTATTTGTTTTGCAGTGCAAAAAATAATAAGAGATTTCCCCATATTCGGCCAGTTTTGCAGCTGCTAATAACTCTTTTCCACTCTCTTAAATATTTTTCAATGTCTCCACTTGCAAAATTTATTAAACGTATGAAGAAAAGGGAAATTAACCACCCTGGAAGAATGCAATATTGACAGTATTATCACCAAAATACAAAATTGAAGCCTTGGTGCTACATTTCTGCATGGCACTTTTGTAGATGCTGTCTCCTTAATATGTGGTGCTTCACGTCATGCATGAGTCTGTTGCTTAGTCTGTGTTTCCTATGGTCATAATCTTCAGAAATGACCTGTTATTATGAGCACCCAACTTAAAAGACTAAACTGTTTGTTTCCAGAAGGATAAGACACCTTAAGCTCCAGAAATAGTCAGTGTAAATTATAGCTAATCATCACCTGTACAAACCGGACTTCCAGGGTTCAACCTGAACAGTCGAAATGCCTATCCAAATCTGGACTTTTAAGAGCCTGTATTTGAAACAGCAGAATAAAAAACCTTGAAGCTTTCTGTACTATGAATGTGTGAGGAATTGTATCTCCTGATTATTAAGGACTGAAAGCTGTTCACACCCTTTTTTCTTAAAAATTCTTTCAGTTTTTCAGACTTTTCTTTAACTCAGTCAATTGCTGTATTTTTCACTCTTTGAAAATTTTTTTTTAAGGAAATGTATATTTTTTTAAAAAGCTATAGGGACATTACATTTGGGCACAAGTACTTAAAATTCCTTAAAGAGTTTTAAGAGCATGCATTCCTTATATCTTCTATATATAGATAGAGGCTCCAAATTGAAATCTACTGCTCCAGAGATTTTACCTCATTGCAAGTCTCTGTAGTAGTGAAACACTCTGCTAGATGAAATTCAAAATTGTGACCTCTATAAAATGAGAAGTATACATGCTGCAGTTAGGAAAGAAAAATCATTTTAAATGTGGCTTAATGCAACCGGTCCTATAATACATCCTTACTTATTTTACAGAAGCCAACACTGTGACACTATATCCATTGGCGCAAGGATTTTTCAGTTTCATTGCAGCTGGAATGAATGACTTCATGCTGAAAAAGGTTGGTTCTGAGTCTACAAATCATGACTGTTTTTATCAGTGAATGCAAATACGTATGTGTGTAAATATATAGCCATATATATTTGTAAGTATGCATATGTGTTTGTGTATGCATGCGTTTCCACTTCAGCTAACCTAATATACAGAGCACTTAAGGAATTTTATGTGTTTCATGGGAAAAACATACTTCCTGAAAAATATGCTAGAAGTTCCGTCTACTGGAAAACTGGAAGAGAGAGAGAGAGAGAGAGTGTGTGTGTGGTTTTAATCAAAAAACTCTATCACTGGACCAAGTAAATAAATTTTTGTGATAACTGGTTTTGGAGTCTTTGATGTCTTAAATCTTAGAACGAGGCAATTTTCCCATAACCTTAGAATCTATGTTCCTCTTTTAAGCCTGCTAATTTTAGTTGAATTACTTACATTATGAATTTACAGAATCACAATATTTTAATTGAAAATATTCTTAGACATTTTAAAAATAGTTGACTAGGATAGGTCATTTAATTATATTTTATCAGTAAGAAAGCATTAGCTCTGCTGAGACTGATAGCTAGCAAGGCCATCTGCAATGCCTTTCAGTTCACTCACACTGAATTGTTCAGATAAAGACTGTCAAGCGCTGCCTAAATAAGGAAGGAGCCTTGGTAAAGTTAAGCGCAGTGGAGGACACAAATGAAGCATTGATTCCAGGCACGCTGTGGCGTCTGAGCTGTTTCCTGCAGCACTGAATCTTTTAGAGTTTTTGTTGTTGTTTTCTCTGAAGTATTAAAATGCGAGTATCTGTCATTCAGGATTTCAGGGAGGATGAAAATGAGGAGGGGGAGGAAGAAGAAAAGGTGAGTGAAAAACACTAGCTTTAAAAAGTACTTATTTCTTTCTCTTCTTACTGTTTTAGAAGAATAACCCTGGAATGATTTATCTTTCTTTTATAGGTCTTCCTCAAGCCTGTTATTGAGGACAGAAATATAGAACTGGCCCGAAAGTGTACTGAAATAAGAAGTGATGTAAGTGATAGTGACTGTTTACATCTTCACATTTGCCTTTCCTTTTTCAGTGACTTTATATTTACTATGCGTATACATTTGCCATATATATTTATTCAGATATGTACAATGCTGTATGTGCCGATTCAAGGCTCAGATGTAAAAACAAAGAAATTAGTAGAAAAGAACTGTCTACTCCAGTACCTGAAATCATCAACCCTGGCCGGATGAGCTTCTCAGAGCACTTGGGCAGTGTGAAGCACAGACGCTCTTACAGGTGCTGGGAAGGAGTAAGTTCTGAAATGTCGGTCTCACAGAAAGATACTGTTAAGAGTGGATCTGCTCTCAGAATGAGAGGCTGTCTCCCATGAGAATTTCTTTGCTAATTTCACAAGGAAAATGCAGTATCTTTTCTGGTTATAGCCTTATCCTATGAATTTTGATTGATTAAAACAGACCTGGGTGCCAATATGCATAGCTGTAAGGAGAGAGGATAAAAATCAAACAGATGAACTTTGATTAATACCTATTGATGTGTTTATAGATGAAGATAAATTTCTATGGTGACAGAAGTTCAAAACTGCTCAGCATACTATTCTTGACTTGTGCTTATAGGAAAAATTCATTGAGATGTTAGGGTATCTTTAAAAATTATTTAGCTTAGAAATTCTTTACTTCAATTACTATAGGTTTTAAAATTATATGAACATTGCAGATCAGGTCTGAGATATTTTAAATTGGAGTAGATCCAATTGCTTCAGTGCAACGACATCAAATTTAGCTTGACTGATGTTTATTTCCATGTTCTTCTGGAAAGATGTTTCTGAAAAGTAACTTTGTCACTTCAGGTAAATTGGAATTAGAGCTCCTTCACAGCCTGCTGTGGGTGGCAGCTTGCAGCTGAGAAGGTATTGCTGGGGAGAGAGTGACTTGCTTTAACAAGTGTTCTTCTAAGAAACTGAAAAGTGAGAGCTGGTTCACGTTGTGTTGTAATATGAGGTTAGATTCCGGATATTATTGTTTAAGGTGAAAGAGTATGTTGATTTTGTAAGAACAGTACATACAGAATCTATGTGTATGGTACAAATTCATTAATAGGACATAGAAAAGCATAGATAAGTGCCAGAATGACAGTATCTGGGATGCGTAGGTGTTACGGCACTGCCTTCAAAGTGTGACTTGACAAGGTCAAAGCTTCCTCTTTGTCCATAGGCCATCTTGTAATGCTTTAATCTTCATGGGACAGCTGCTGAAAATTGGATAGACCCTTATGAGAAGCTACCAAGACGACTCCCTTGTAATCTCAAGCTATTTTAGGAAATAGTAGTTATTAATATTTTTATTATTGGTTATCTACATTTTTTCTTTGGGAAATAAATGACATAAGACACAGTAAGTGCCTGTCAATTCATGGAAAGGCCAAAATGAAAGTGAAGCTGCAGCACTAGCCTGACCTGAAAGACATTTACTGCTTCTATGCAACTTGTTTTTAAACATGGTTGCTGTAAAGGTGGAAACACCCTGAAAAATGCTGAAGAAATATTTGCTTTGTTTGAAAAGAAACTGTTACTGAGCTGTGTACCCGTTAGGAGTAATGTTGGCTGTGGCTGTTAATTAACTGATAAATGGAGTGCCTATATTTTCTCTGAACTGCTGCAGAGACTTGGGGCTAAGGTGAATAACCGAGTTAAGGCAGGTTCCTGAAGCCTGTAGTGGTTCAGAGATGTAGGCTTTTGCTGAAAGCTTGTGATGCATTTAGCCTGCAAGTGTGTTAGATTTTCACTGAGATGTGTAAATCATAATGGCGTAGTATCATTAATGGTTTCAAAGTGGTCGTAATGTGTAATGGTCCAGAACCAATTTAATTTCGAAGAAAATTCTCTGTGTTTTAAAGTGGGACCCATTTTTGGGACTTATCCAGCATCCACTGAAATCAGTAAGTGTTTTGTCATTGGCTCTACTGGAACACGAGTGTAGTTCAGGGACTGATTTTTGTCTCCCAGATTTTTTTTTGCTATAATTGGAATTTCTTACGACTAGCCTATTCCCTTGTACCTGGCGGTAAGTTTCCTCTCCCTGCGCATTTTCTAAATTCTGGAGGCCAGTGAGCTGTAAAGAGTTTGCATGCTTCCTTTTAGTTTTTGACTCATCAACATTCGGAACTTTTTAGATTTGCTCTGTGCTTTTTTGCAGGAGTCTTTGCCCAAACTGCTTTCTCTTTGTGTAGAAGTATCATTGGTGCATGTCTGTACGTTTTATGTGTACAATGGTTATGGGTCTGAAGATGACCTTGTGACAGCAGCCTATGTCCTTGTTGACCATGAGACCAGATGATTGTCCTTTTGTGCCTGTGGAGCTGTCAGCACAGCTACTCCATCAGAATGCAGTGGCCTGAGTGCTTCTGACTTGAGATACTGTGATTGCATTATGCTCACCCAGCATTCTTTGTAGTCTGACTTTAAATTGGCATTATTATTTCAAAAAACAGTTGTGATGACAGTCCTTAGTGTACGTATAACTGCCAGACTTGAGCTGCATGTAGGGGGAAGTTATGAAGTATATGTGTGCTCCTGTTGAGGAAATCCTCCATTGCATTCAAGGTTGGCAGATGTTTGTTCTGTGCCCGTGATAGCCCTTCTCCAAAGCCATTTCATTTAATCTCCCTCCATTAAGCAATTTTATTTTAAAGATTTTTTCAAAGCTGTCATGTGTATTGGGTTTATATGAATTATGTTCCTATCCAGGCCTTTTCTCTTCCATATTGAAATTGAGCCTGTCCATTTGCCTGTATTATTTATATTTTATTATCTCTTCATCTCTTCTTTTTTTTGATTGTGCAGTGTGATATTATGAATACTATTATAAGCAAAGATGGGAGTTATTGTACAAATAAAATGATCATTAACCAAATTATCGTAATCCCTTCTTGTGGAGAGGGAGGCACTGTGCCGTCTGAAGATGCTACTGAATTTTATTTATGCATGGTACTCACGTTTCTTTCCATCTGTAGTAAAAAATTGCACAACTTACTATCTAACTGTCCCTGTATGAAGTCCAGCTGTGCTTTCGCATGTCTTCTCCTCAGCTCAGCATCAAGTTCAAGTCTTACTCTTTATTTGTCATACAGTAATTCTGTGGTCTCTCTGTTATAAAGCAGGGGCTGCAGAGACACTGAGTCAAGTATAGAAACAGAGTGCTTTACCACTGATGTAATAGGCTTGTTGCCACTTCAGGATGGAGCTATTCTTCTGGGCTGACCATTGTTAATCACAGCCTCTGACTCAGGAGGACTTCGAGGTTCAAACTGGTGGAGGCTAGGCAAATACCCTGTGACAATAACCCTATACACCCTGAATACTTGCCCTGTTCTTACGCTTTTGTCTAGACTTATGTGGGCCACAGAGAGAGGATTTTGTATTAGAAGGATCTATGGTCTGACACAGTTCTTACAGTCTTATGAGAGATTATAAATTAGGAAGTGTGGGGATTGCAAAGGGAATCCGTAGTGGAAAAAAGTTCCATTGTGGTCTAGCATGATGAGACAGTTTAGACTTTTTTGTGGCTTTTCTAAGCTTAAATGGATCTTTGAGAGATGACAGTTCTGTAATGGATCTTGGCATGATGATTGTCAACATAGTTGACACCAGTGATGTCAAGATAGTAAAAGCAGTGTTTCCAGTATACTTGTGTATAATTTGATTAATATGTGCCCCTGAATACAAAGGAAAGGTGACTGCTTGGTTTAGGCTGTTAGCACCAGAGCCATTCCCTTAGCCTGATCCTGAGTTTTCTCTGTAAAGAAGTCTGATAGAGTGGGCCATGGTCAAGATGAATTTCCTTACCAAGCCACAGCCTGCACAGCCAGTTATGGAGTAATTCACTTTTACTCCATAACAGTGCTGCTGCTCAGAGCTATTTTATGCTGACTCAGGGAGCAGAAAGGGCTTAGGAGAGAGCTGTTAAAAATTAGAGCTTTAGCGAACTGTTGGGCTTCAAAAGTGTATTGAAAGAGCCATCCATGGTGGCTCCAGGCTGTCATTTACAAATTTTTCATATCTGTTTTTCCCAAAGATTACCAGGCCTGTTCAACCTAAACAGCATATTTTGTGGTGAAAGGCAAGTCACTTGCAGGCAAAATTTCTTGTTCGGTATTTTAGACATTTAATTTTGTCATCCTCCGACTTTGAATAGGAGTGCTAGCTTGTCTGCGTAGCCATTGGTTATCTTCCCTCATAGATAACCTCTTAAGCCTCTTGCCTACTTCATTTATAATAAACATGCATTTTAAGTGCAGGTGTCAGGACTATGTTATATTTGTCCTGTTTCATCTTCCAGTTGCCTTATTCCAAGTGGTGCAAACACAACTGTAGCAGAATGAAATGTGTACGATCAACGTCTGACACGAAGATGTTATTGTATGTTCTCTCTTAATTACCTGTGTGAACCTGTGTGCATTTTGTGGCCTCTATGGGCTACTATAAAAACGTGAATGATAAAGGAGTAAAGGGGTGTCATTACTGGTTTCGGTTATTTTGAAAGCATGATTTCTACAGTGGAATGGCTTTGGTTCTTACTTCTAATATTTTCTTCCTCTGTTCAATTAAGAGGTACCTTAGGAGGCTTTCATGTTTGATTTTTGAATGTAATTATTGCTCCGTAGTTAAAATGATGTAATTACAGTTAGCTCTCAGTTATCTGTGCGTGATTTAACAAAGTTATGAGCAGCTCTCCACCTTGCCTCCCAGACACAATCTTAGTTTTACAGGAATTGCTACTGGAAGGTTCACCAAACCTCACCAGCAGAAAGTTAACTGTATAGTTTTTATATATCACTTCTCAGCCATATCACTCTGAATAAGTGTAATTCTAAGAAGCTATTTTTAAACCATTTGTGTGCACCTGTTGTGAACCCCCTCATAAACACAAATGCAAGTACATGCATGCACACATGCGGGTCAACAGTCAGCACCTCCTCATCCTTAACATAAAAAAAAAAGTACAGTGCCTCACAAACAGGTTACGTGGACCATTGGATTGGTGAGGCCCTGAGCAAAGTGATGACACACTGTAATATTGCATTGTGTGTTCCAGAGAAAGTTCTTATTTAGACTACGCTGTAGTCCCCAAAGGGAGGCAGTATGATTCAGTAATAAGATCTAATCCATTCTAATCCTTATCTAATCCATTTTGTGGTGGACAAAAAGTTTACATCAGAAAGGCCAAGAGTTGATTCTGGTTGCATGGCACTTATTCTTAAAAACTCTCTGAATTGAAGATGGCTGATATCTTTCTGATGAACTGTCCACGTCACTTTTGAGGAATGTAGAGTAGAACTGGTGATTTTCATTAAGTATTCAGAGAAGGATGAAATGCAGATTGCAAATTTTGGTAATGCTCAGATGTAGGTCATATTGCTTCTGTCAGTGCTTGTCAGCAAGTCTGCAGTGTGTAGAATGTGAAAATGAGGTTAGAGGAAAGGTAGCAGATAACAATCAGGAAAATTTAATCTCAAATAATTAAATGTTCTTTGAACTAAACTATGCTACGTACAAAGAAAGAATTGTCAGTAAAAATCATAAGGCTGCTTATTGGGAGTACCTTTAAAAGTAAGGACTATCCATGTAAGGTGTCCATCTTTAAGATGTATTTAGTCCAGCTTATCATATTCACAGTGTTCCTTCACACAGATCCTGTCTTAGAAAACTCCCTACACCTTCACCACGTCCAATTTCATCATGCGTTTCATATTCTTGACAATCCCACTAATCTAAAACCTGACTCTGACTCCCTCAACAGTCATGTGATTATTGTTAGATAACTGCTTACTGGACGTGCATACTGCTAGAAATATTGTTTGCCCCTGGGTAAGGAAAAGGTTGGGACTTTGTGTTGTTTTTGAAAAGAAAACTTGTTTTTTTGCAGAGCACTTTGCTTCAAAAAGAGTTTCTGTTGTGTATAGACAGGACTTTAGAAGTGGCTCAATTTAAAATTTGCTTCCTTCTAAGGGGGCTCTAACACTACCTGCATGTTGCAACTATCTGGGTGCTTTATAGCTAGTGATTTGGCAATGAGCTTCTAAATTTATTCATGTAACTCTTGGATTCATGAAGAGACATTTTGTTATGCTATAGTAAAATACAGATTCTGTGCTTGCAATGTCTGTGTTAGAAGCCGGTCTAACAATTTTAGCTCTGAGATCAAGAAGAAAATGCTTTCTTCAGTTCTCTTTTCTTTAGAGGTCCTGGAACATCTGTGAACAGTGGTGAAAGTGTGCTGTAGGTATAGAGAAGAATTCTGTCTTTTTCATCTTTAATATCAAAGAGTTCTGTGATTTTCACATAGCCCTGATACCATGTGTGAAAACTATGTATTTCCCAGTGTGGCTTAATTTGATCCAGCCTGTGGTATTTACAAGCCACCCAGCATAGTACCCAGAATTTTAGCATCCAGTCAGAACGAGCAGAATAACTCTAATAAAGACAGCCATTGTATGCTTTCCTGTTTTTAAGAACAATTAAACTTCTTTCTTCTCCTCTTTGTAGATACGCTATAAGGAAGAGTTTGAAAAATCTAAGGGCAAGTGCATATTTGTCCCTGACACCCCTCAGCTAAAACATGTGAAAAATCTTGGTGCTTTTATTTCCGAGGTAAGAGCTGAAAGACTGCAGAATTCTCTTTGGCACTTATTCTTCTTAAAAACTCTTTGAATTGAAGATGGCTGTTTTTCAGTAGGGGAAGGAGGGCTTGTTCCAAATAACAATTCAGTTTAAAGCTGTAATTAGTGTATGCTCTGTGTGTGAGTAATAATAATTTAGAGTTATATAACACTTTTCTTCCAGGATTCCAAGGTATTTTATTGACAGTTTTGAGACAGTAGTAGCTGTCCCATTTTGTAGATGCATAAACTGAGAAAAAGAACAAGGATTTCTTGTTAGTTATTCAGTAATGACAAGGTATGCAAATTATACCTGTGCATAGTTGCCCTGCTGTGGAGAATTCACAGCCTCGCTATCAAACAGGAGGAGAGAAGGTAACTGTTATTGCCCCCGGCCGTCAGTGAGGGAGCTGGGGTGGAGGTCAGGTAAATGCCATCTCCATATCCATCAGTGCCTATCTATCTATGCATGCCCATGTGTGAGTTTTTAGGTCTTTGTATACACACACATGCACACACGCACGTGCACCCACACATTGCTAGAGTGACAAAGAACTGGCAGCTTCCGAAATGACAGAGCCCAGTTTGCTACCAGCTCTTCCTATCCCAGGTATAAGGTGTAATAGGGTTGTGTCTTTGATTATTTTTATTATTTGATTATTTTTCATAGCCAAGATTATTTTTCATTAGCAGTTTTACTTGACAGAAAATTGCTTGTGTTAAGGAACTGTTGGTTCTGAGTGATTCTTCTGTCCTTGTGACCCTTGCAAAACTTAAATTTTTGTTGCCTCATTTTTTGTGCTACCTTTATGTTTATGATGAAGGGCATTCCGATTTCCCTATCTGGAGTTATGTAATTTATACACATTCTGTATGGTCTACCGTCTATGGTAGGTATGTTTGCTGTATGTCTACATCCAATATAAATGCATCTGACTGATATTTTTGTGGTATTTATCTTCATACTTCTGAGATAAAATAATTCCCAAATGGCCTAAATATAATGAAATTATACTAACTTTCTAAGAGACAAAGAGACTATTGTATAGTCTACAAAAACACAATGTGGTGAAAAAATTTATCGAATCCACTTGTATGATATCAAAGAAAAGCTGCTAATCATTAACTGAAGAAGATTTACAGATACAAGGATATTACAATTTTTTTGTAATACGGTATCTTTTATATCATCAAACTTTTGTGTACTCTGCAGCTAGACACGCTCCCTGAACCATGTGAAGGATGGTTTATCTGGTAAATTACTGACCTCTAGTGTCCCATAACCTGTTTTGGTGAAACTTGAATACTTCTAAAATTGTCTCTTCGCAGCAAATCTACTGAAGTGAAAAGGAGCCCTCTGTTCAGGAAAACAGCAATAAATACTATAGCAAATTATTGGTAAATGGAATCAGTCTCTAATAAATAGTTGTACATGTACAGTAAGTTAATGACATTAGACAGTATCATTTCAGGTATTCTCTGGTATTTATGATTACTTTCAAAATAATGCCTGATCTTATTGCTTTTTGAATTTGAAAAACTTTGATCTAGAGCAAAAGCCCCCGCAAATTTAGAACTACTATTCTAGCCTGACATAAGGCCCTTTTATTAGGAATTGCTAGTACTGAGCATCGGTGAAAGCGCAGGAGAAATAAAAAGGAATTTAAAAATGAGTCTGTAATACGAAAATATTAAGTAGAAATGACGACAGAAATGCTAGCTTCAGTATTTCTGCCTTTTCCTGTTACATTTAATTGCTACTACATACTAATTAGTAAAATAATTTACTACTGGCTTCTCATTTTTCCCATTGTGCAAAACTTTAGAATGAAAAATATAGTTTGAGTTTTTGGAAATGATTTAATAAAAGGTAGAGAAAATAGCTGCCTTCCTTACCTTATCTAATACTTTCCCCCAAATGCTTAAATTTAATTAGCTGGTACTTCACGTAGCTTCATGAACTAGACACATGATTCTGAAGTATTTTAAGGTTATTATTTAAAGATCTATTTTTGCTTGAAAGTTTAGAAGGCAGTAGTAGATCTTTTCCAGTTCCACTGGTTTTTATGCCATTTTATTTAACAGGAAAACAATATGTATTATGATTATTTGACTTAATTTTTGCATTGCATGTCACCTTTTTCTCTCCTGTAGGTGAAGTACAAAGGAGCTGCTAAGAAAAGCCTTTCCAACTCTCTGTATCAGCAGATGCCAGCCACAATTGACAGTGTATTTGCAAAAGAATTAACACAACTACAAAGCAAGGTGCAATTTTAAAACAAAAAGATATTGTGATATTAATTGCATGACCAAATATTACCAACCTGGACGGTGCTTTTGAATGGATATTTGATTGCCTGTTTGATTTATTTGGGTCAGTTTCTCAGGTAGAGTTTATCGGCATAACTGAATGACTTCAAGAACTCACTTTTACAATGCTGAGGGTCTGACTCTTTGTATTTATTTAACATAAATTTAAAAACAGACAGTCTGTTCATCAGTCCAGCAAAAGCCATTAGTAATCCATGAATGCAATAAGGAATTATTTAATGTAGTGACATTGCATTGTGTATTTAGAAGAGAGACATCTTAAATTACAACCATTTCAACTTAGGTGTCGTAATAGATGTTTAAAATGTTTGATGCTGAAGCAAAGTAAAAAAAAAAAACAACACTTTAATGACTTTTGCAGGTGCTCACTGGTAACGATAAAGATTTTTGATGTCATTAATAGTCCACATGGCACCACTCAAAACAAAATTTAGGGAATTACAAATATAAAATCAAGTATTTTGAACATAGTGAAAAACATGCCAACAAGCAGTAAAATAGTAAATTCTAGCTGCTTCTAGAGGCTTAGAAATAATGCCTTTAATGTAGGCCAACGACTCCTAGCTTCCATTTATTTCAATGGAATTGTATTAAGTATGTATGTACAAATGAAGTAAATTTTCATTGATACTCATTACAATTACAGCTGATAGACAGCCATTGTTTTCCATCCACCAAGCATTTCCACCTTTCTCCTGTTCCTCTCTTCTCCTCTCTTAAACATACTAGTTTCTTTCAGCTTAATACAGCAAATCTGTGAAGTGAACGTATTTCTAAATCCGTATTATCGACTGTATCCCAATATTTATTTTAATAATGCAGCCAATTTTTTCCCAAACAGGGAAAAATATTCAAAACAAAAGAAAATACTGAATTCTAGAGACAGCTTGTGGAGATATGCTTTGATTTAAAGCGGTGTGCTAATCAAGGCTATAATAAGCAAATACAATAGCATAAGATATATTTTACTCTTTATAGTTTGAAATGGAATATATATACACTCAAAGCAATAAAATAGCTGAAATGACATTAATGAGACATTTCATTGTGAAGTGAGTGATTAGAAGAATTACAGTAGAAATAAATTGGGAATTAAACTTGTATAACATTTTTAAACAGTTGGCTTGATTTATAAAACATCAGTTAACTAGTTTGCCACAGGATTTACTCCTGGATTCATTCCAAATGAGTACATTCTACATTAGTTTACACAAATGAGGTTAATTAACACTGGTGATGGGGCAGAAAAGAGAAAGAACTGAGACTAAAAATGAAAGCATCTGAGTCAGCAAAAAATTAAAAAGCTCATAAGGAGAAGGCTGATATTTTCATTTCATAGTTTTGAAGGTTTTATTCAGTCATTCAACAGTCATGAGGAAACAAATATGCATATAAACGCTTCCTCTGAAATTCATACCATCCCCTTAGGAATAGATACATTATAAATCATAATGTAGCATAAAACTTAAAGATATGCTGACACATTTTTCCAACTTGTGGTCACTGTTGCAACCGACCTGAATTTAATGCTACTTTGAGAGAGATCCTAGGGGATTTTCTAGTGGAAAATCTTCTCTACAGTATTCAAATCTAATCCATATTGTGCCTATCACTGTGGTACCTAAGTAGCTAATACAAGGATTTAAATTTCAACTAGGTCAGGATATGGCAAGGAGGATTTCTGCTGCATCTTCCTAGCTGGGATTGTAAATTTTCAGGTCATCAATTCAGCAAGAGGAAGGAGGGAGAGTGCGCTACTGGCTGGCTGTTGTGCTAACACTTGCAAAAAGGCTGCTGGAGAACCAAGGTCGTGATCTTTTCTCAGGCACATTGAGATGATTTCAGCAGAACATTCCCATGTTCTAATGGGAACATTCTCCTGCTCTACTGGAAACAGGAAGGAGGACACGTACCCATGTTTTTCCATCTCTGGAAATCAGAACCTATTTAAAATCAACTCAATATGACTGAGATATTGATTCAGTATTGACTCCTTTGACTCCCTCTTGATGCTCCTTGGATGCCAGGCCTGGCTCGAATGTGTTTGTCGCCAGCCATTGCAGGAGCTTTCCGGTGCTGCGGTACCATGTTCCCAGCAGGGTCCTTTCCTCATTTGCCAAGCGGATGCATCGCAGGGCGCACAAGGGAGCCACTGACTCTCCCCTGCTACTGACGGCTGCCACAGGGGAGCAGATACGTGCTCAACAAATGGTCTCTCTCATGATTTGACCTTTGATCATGAAATGGTGCTGCCATACCGCTGTTGTCCAGCATCTCCATGTTCTGCCTGCCTGGACCTAGCCCAATTTATGAATTTTTATGCACTATCTCAGATCATGCTGATGACTTAGGAACTCAGAGGCCCTTTGAGGAAACTTCCTTTTTCTGACAAGAGATTATAGAGATTATTCCCCACCTTTAGCTGCTGTTTGCTGTCCTCTCCGGACCAGATAGGCTCCAGTAGTGCTGTCAATCACCTTGGCGTCTGCTGCCCACGAAGGCAGTTGTCACTGATGCCAGCGGAGCCAGGACTTGGTTCTCCTTGGACTTCAGCCCCACAGTGCAAACATTGCCAGGACCTTATTATACTGCAGGAAGACCACAATGCCCTGATAGTTTTGTCTCTCCTCCTGTGGAGCCTTCTGCCCATATTTGCTTTATTGGTGCATGCTCAATTCCCTTGTTAAGATGTACAGAAAAGAGGAAAGACCTTCTCTGCTGGGTTTTTCATTAAAAAAAAAATTTTGCTCTTCTGTGTTTTATTTAGAGCTGGTATCAAGATTAAAATAAATACCTGGAGAGAAAGAAATCCATCCAAAATCTGGACAAAAAAAGGTGACACTTTTTATGGGAAAGATTTGTTTCAGAAGAGTGAAAAGGAAGCTTCAAATAAGCTTCACGTATCTGAGCACCTTCTGTGAGTTTCGTTTTTCCCTCTGAGTAGAAAAAATGACCAAAGCCTTCTAAGTAGCTTGCTTAAGGTTGCGCAACCAGGTTTTCCTCCCTATCATTCTTTCATCCTCAGGATAAGTCAGAGAGAGAACAGCATTCCCTCTCCTCACCCCATGACTTCACCCACTTTACCAACCCGCAAAGCTCTCACCCATTTCACTGTTCTCTGCAAACAGAAAATGAATTTGATGAGCAGTCTAGGCAAGGAGCCCCCATTTTGATTTTCCAGAGAGGAAATGGACATTTTCTGGAAAAATTACAGTTTTCTTACAGAAAATATTTCTGAAGGAAAAATTCAAATCATTGCTGACTTTGTGCCAGGTCTTTTTCCTATCTGAAGTTCAGTATACTGAGTTCTTCCTTACATGGAATATATATATATTTTTAATAAGGTGTCACAAACTATGATAAAGGTATTTAAAATGACTTGGAGAGGAAACGATGTAAGAAAAAAGAAAAAAAAGAAGTATATACTTCATCACTTTTTTCATCACTTTATTTCTGCCATAAGAAGAGATTGCACTGTTTTTCTTCTTATCTGAAGGGAAGAATCTTAAACAAACTGAAGGCAGTTTAATTTTTTTCTTTGTGCAGTGCAGCAGTATCTCCAAATAGTAACTATATGTCAACGTTCAACAATGTTTTCTGTTGGTTTTTAAAGATGATGAGCCAAGTGAATCTTAAGCAGTGTTTTCAAGTTCTAGAGAAAGTTTTGGAGTTTTTCTTACTTATGAGTAGAATTCTTTTACTTTCAGATTTTTATTTACTATAATAAAGCTATTTTTGTGATTTACTGCATAATTTACCATCATATTACACATTTGCGGACTGTTTAATATAATTCTTCATTTTTTTATGGTATAGCATCTCATGTTCAAGATTTCCTCTTTTTTATGGTGGCAGGTGCTTAAAAGTCTCCTAGACTTCACTATTTCTGTTTTAAACAACTACATCAGATAATCTGATTCTCAATCTAGAGATTAAAATGGCATTTTCAGCGTTCTTGAACATTTCCTTCTACAAAATCCTACATTAAAGATTTTAAGTTGAGAGTTCAGCATAGTGGCTTTCAGTGGGAAATATAGAAATAAAAAATACGTTCAAATTATTCCAGAACAGAGAGTCAGTCAGAGTTAAGTTAAAAGAACACAAAGCCTTCCTTAATTTAGCTCTGTATTGACACAATAGTCCATGAAAGAGAGGTAAGGAAAAGAAAAAAACTAATACTTACAGGTTAGTTCAGTCTGAAATAATGTCCACTTAAATAATTGTCTTGTGTGCCTGGAGTTACTAAATAGTTCCGCCACAGTGCAGAGGTTATGTGAGTAACCCTTAATACTTGATCTCTGTAAAGAGTACTGTGATGCATGTGTATATTTGATAATTAAAATTCAGTTTAGCTACAACTTGGAAATTCTGCATGAAATGGGAAGTAAATGTATAAGCACGTGGTGACATATAAAATAATAGGTCTAAGAATTTTGAGGAAGCAGTCATCATAAACATGCTTCCATGCTTGCTTGCCAGTACTGGAACGGATTTACAGGTATGAGAATATTTCTTTATAGCTGTCTGAGTGACTACAGGAGACAACCATTTAGCTCCCTCTAACCTGTGGTTCTTTCAAGATTACATAATTAGGTTACAAAAGAATGTGGTGAAAAGTTTCATAAAAACACAGCTGTCAAATAGCAAGCCAAATTCTTACAGTGAGCTAAAGGAACAGTCTTTCGTCCCAAGATAGTGGACACGCAACTATAATTTCCATTATTTCTCTGACACTGGGAGTTGATTTGCTTTTGATTCTTGATGATTTGGGTGCGTAGACCGTTGTGTCAACATAAAAATGTAGATGTTGATGCAAAGTGTTAATGTAGTAGAATATCTGTAAATTGCTGGATTTTGGAAGTAACTGTAAGGCCTGCTTTTCAGAATTGTATTAAGTAAGGAACATCTTAAAAGTGACAACGTGATGCAGGGAAGGTAGCAAAAGATTTGTTGTGGCATTTATTTATATAGTAATTGGAATTTTGCGGCTGATCATGTGTTAGTGTTGCTTCAGTCTCGATAAAGATTATTTGCCTTCCCATTTGCAAAATGTGATCGGTATGGGGAAGTTACAGCCAATTTTTGTTTCATTTTAAGTTTTATTTGTTTGTTTCCCCAGTGACCTAATCATTTTGTATTTACATGGTGTGAGCAGATGGCACGTTTTATATTTCCTAATTTTATACTTGCGTTCATACACTAGCAGTGCAAAGAAATAATTTTTGTCTTAATCTTTCAGCCTATACATCATTTCGTAATCTGAGATAGTCAGTGCAGATACTTACATATTGCCTTGGGCATCCTGATCTGTGACTTGGATGCAATCTTGCTGCCTTAAACATGAACAGATATGACATTTTCTCACAGTTCTAGTATCCTTTCCTGAAGGAGGCTGAATCACCATACTGAATCTTGCCTCAAAATTTTTACAGTTTTCTTTCACTGCTATTGAGGGTTTTAATTTCAGAACTTCTTCCCGATCAGCTTTCAATCTTATTTAGTATTTGCTGTTTTCTTAGGGATTACTTTAATGCTTGCTCCAGAAAGCTATTAGAAAATGAATTTTCTTGATGCTTGCTGCTTCTTCAGGCATCAAACCTGGTGAATTTTCTTATTGTAAGCATAAAAGCTTATGACAAGAATAAGTGCAATATCAGCTTTTTGAGGCAACTTTCGTATGTGATGTGTGAGTATATGCAAGTGTAACACAGTGCAGTGAAAGCTGGATGAATGCCCAACTTTCAGCTCAGTTTCTATTATAAAAATGATTTTGTTTATAAACTCACATTCCAATTCCATTTTCCTTTACAATGATGACAATTGAATGTAAATATTATTTTTCTTTGTGAACCTAGGGGCTAGTGAAAGTGTGGATTGTGCTAGTAATTTCCTAACAGTGGAAGAAATAGATGTTTGGGCCGTGTGTAATTCATGTAAACCTGTTTATTTACAAGGAACGCACAAAATATTTTCTTTTTTGGGGGAACACAGGAAAAAAAAATCAAACCTCAGAAAATACTTACTTTGCTAATAGTTTCAAGTATATTTTGACTAAAAAACTGCTTTCTCGTATGCTTTTCTCTCGGCCGTATTTTCAGCTTGCTAAGGTTGCTTTTCTGTATCTGTATATATGTACTTTGTTTTCTTCTTCCTTTGTAGTCATTCTTCTGTTAAAATAATAGACTCAGACTCTGCTGACTGTGCCTCATGTATCTCTGTTTTGGATAGAAGCTGCTAGTGTTTCAGGGTTCTGGTTCCATTAAGGAGCTTTATTATTTATTACATTTTTTTCCTGAATACAGGCACACTACTACACCAGATTTAATCCTGCTCATAATCTTCTTCCTGCTCTGCTGAGGTCACCAAAATATGCTGTTGCTCTTTTTAGGTTCTCTATAAGCAAAAGCATGACGCTGAGAAAGGAACTTCAGATTATGCACATATGAAGGAGCCTCCAGATATTAAGCATGCCATGGAAGTCAATAAATACCAGAGTGATGTAAGTATTCCCCTCTCTGGAGTTAGTTCACTGGTTTTGGGTAGATAAACCTATTATATCTAACTGAAATGAACAGGGCATGGAATATTTTTATATTATTTCATTACTTTTTAAAAATATTTTTTATATTATTTTATTTGCTGTAGGATATTTTAGGACATGATGCGTATATAATACGCGTTACAAGTAATGTTATGTGCCTTTTACTCTAACCTGCATTGGAAAGTGTTTGTTATTATTTAGTAATAGTAATTATTATTGTTAAATGCTATCAGTTTGCAACAAAATTGTAAAGAAAGACTTGCTGAATTCATAATATACCTACTCGAACTTTAAAACTGTATTTACATAATACTCTTCATTTACATAAACAGCAGTGTGGCTTCTGTATCTTATACTGTCAACATTGGTATAGTTCTGTGAGGGGTCTGTCTAGAGGAGAGAAGAGGGATATTTCTGCGCTGATCTTGCACACTTTTATGCACATGAATAACTTTATTCCCATCTCATGAATAAGTATCTAAACGAGTTCCAAAGAACAACTCGTGGCTGAATTTAGAGAATTTAGAGTTCAGTTTGATGCTTAACATTGTTTTATGTCATTGATAGAAGTATTTCTTCTCAGAGTTTTAAGTACATAATTTACAAGCAAATTAGAGTATTTAGGAATATTTTTAAAGTTTTTTACAGCTGTTTGTTAACTTTTTGCAGTCTTCAGATTTTCACAGTACAAAAGCATAATAATCGTATTTACATTTTTTATTAGTATCAAGTCAGGTTTGATTTCATGGTCTCTTTTGCTAGCTCAATGCATCATTGCTGGCATTAGAAATACTGCCAGGATCAGTGTTTTGAATTATACCAACACACCTTTGAGGAAAAATGTATATTAGTTGTAGGTTACTTATGAAAAATGTGGATTTTGAGAGAAAATTGGCTGTAATAGTGAGGTCATTTTAAAGGGAACACAAAAACTGTAAGAAACGCCAACAAGTAAATGCCTTCAAAATTATGATCCATTTTTGTTGTTTGTGCATAACAAAGTCAAGTCAGGTAAGTATGTGATTTTATTCCTCTTTTATTTTTTCAGACAATTTGGGTATTTGTTTGTTAGAAGCAACACAGAAAATGAAGCTTTGGTGTTGACTTTGAATTATCTTAAATTTATCTTATCTTCCTTACTGACAGTGTAACAACCACTATTAGGTTATGTAGGCAGAAAGCTAAATGTCGTCCTTAGATATATGTCCATGTGTGTAGAATCTTGACAGCTGGCCACTGATTGAAAGGCTGCTGGAAAACTTTAGGGAAGCATTATGTTTGAAGAATAACTTCTTCTACTGCTGGGAAATACCTGAGCTGGAACTCCCAGAAGTAATTTGCAACCTGCCTTGATTGCAGAATTCTCTCTTCCTGTCGAACTCTGGCTGTCTCTGCTGTTGGGAATGTCAGGATGTCAGATTGACAGAGGATAGATGCTGCAAACATGAACTTCACTCTTCATAAGCAGGGATTTGATTTTACTTAACAGGAGGAATGATGGTGGAGTACTAGGGAAGGAAATAACGTTGAGAAGAGAGATGGGAATCCTTCTCAGAGTAGGTGGTGGGACCAGGAGGAATAAGAGACTAGTTTTTGCATCAAATTCTTCATTGTCTGAGGATTAGCGTGCTATTGACAATTTTGGAGATCCCAATTGCAAAACCCATTCCCTCTTGAGCTACAGCCATACCTCACCTGCTAACCGAATGAATGAGAGCCAGGTACAGATGTGAGAGTAAATTAAATTCAGTTGTTTTATCTTCTTTCACCCTTAAAGCAAGCGAAAAACGGAAATGAAGACAAACACAGGAAGGGGAAGGCTGTTTTGATAAATGATAACTTTTAACAGCATGTTAAGAATAATGAAAGGATGTGAGGGAAAGTGTTCTCAGCCTGGGCAAACTTCAAAATAAAACAAACAAATCCTCCAAATCCAACATAAGACTCAAACCAGTTAGTGTCATTTAAGAAGGGAATCTTTCTAATTGCTCATAGGGAGCTACAATGGCATGGGGATATAATTTTATTATACATACAGATGCAAGTTGAAGTTGTTCAAGGGAGTTATCCAACTACTGTGGGTAATTATTTGAGCACCATGCCAAATATTTGTTTATGGTTTTCTTGTTTTATAAATAAAGGTTTAATTAAGAGCCACATGAGCTTTTGCAATTAAGGCAAATGTGGAATAGTAAGCATCCCAAATGTGAAGTATTTGTCTTCTGGAACTTGGGCTATTTGTAGAATCACAGCTTTGAGAAGTGCAGTGTAGAAGAGGGGAACTACTGAGGGAATAGGAGGACAAAGCTCTTTTATCCACCACTCAGTGCAGTATACCTATGGGAGCAGAATGCGTGTTTACCTACAATGGTCTGCCAACTCAATTCAACCTTTACATGCAGGGTTTGCATCTAATAGGATTAGGATGTGTTTAAGACTATTTACTCAGCCTTAAAATAAGGCTGACATTTATACTCAACTGTGTGAAAAGTGCAATTTCCTTTAAAAATTAAGACTGTATTCAAGTTACAATACATTTGAGCTGACATTTTGAAACTGTCATGTGCTGTAGGCCTTCACACCACTTTGAATATCATTAACACACTGTATAAGCGTGGGTTGCAGCTGCACAATAGGGAAATACTTTAAAATCTCCTGAACAATGTGATCATGTACGAGAAAAACATTTTCCCCTTATTCATGCTTCCACTGAAGGAAATTGCTCTCAGAAGAACAAAACTGACTTCTTAATGATAGGGAATTTACTCAAAAAATTATTCAAATACTGTGCAATGTTAGAATGAAAGTGTATTTATCTAAAGCAGAGTACCTCTCTCTGTAAATTTTGCTTTTGTTTTGTGAAATGAATGTTCGTGACGGGCCTTCGTCAACAAAGGCATTGGAAGAAAAGTGAAGGAGAGACCATGAGCCTACCTTACGTTGGCGTTTGGTTGGGGCAAAAATTAGTTGGTGGTCCACAGAAAACTGTCATGTCACAAAATAGCGGTTCTCCTCCCTGTGTGTAGCTGAGAACCAGACGGATGGAAGAGAGAGAGTAAGGGAACAGCAGAAGGAGATGATAAGTATGTTTTTCAAGAAAGGAAAATACTTGCTGCATTGTCCCCAGGTAAAAGCTGCATATTGCATTCTCTTAATATACTCAAAGTTGTAGATCCCAGTTTTGCTTTCCCCATGACCTGGTCTGTCACTGTGCATTTTGAGTAGCAAAATAATGTTAAGGGTTTATCCAGAAGTTTAACTATTCTGCTTGGTTAAAATTACTGATTGTCCTCACAGCATTGTTTTGCGTGAAATAAGTATGTGTTGTTGTTTTGATTTTACAAGTAGAGAAAACTGCGATAGACTCATGTGTGGATATTTAAAGGGCAGTTTGCAGATCTGAGGTCAGAGCCCTGGTATCTTTTCTCTTATACTTACATACCAAGCAGTGCTGCTTTTAAAATGTTCATAGATAGACAGTTGGGCAAACATTTAATGTATAGGTATGCTCTTTGCAGTCCAAATTATGTCAGCAGCAGTAATTTATAATGTCCCATTGACCTTCTAAATTTGAATATTTAAGAAGTCTACTTTGTATTAGGCCTATGGCTTTTTTCCTGTTTATGATATTGTGCAGTCACAATCCACACACACAAAAATTACAGTCTGATAACACCAAATGAGCAGATCTTAAATTCAGTGTGCTTAAACAACTTCAACAACATACTAGAATTTTTGAAGTTTGTTTTGATGCAGATTATATTAAAGCCATGCTTCTCCTGGCTCTCTGTTCAGTATCTGCATTAGAAAAATCACCTTGCACTGACTAACTTTCTGCTGACAGTGGTTGTCAACAGCAGGTCCCCCTGGACCACTTCCAACTGGTGCTGAAAATGATGTGTTTACTCCTAATGTAATTGGGACCAATCAATTTTCAAGCCCATTACTGGCAGGGATGACTGCATCAATCTGTAATGGGCCAGAAATGTGTTTGTCTCTTCTACATGAGCAAGGAAATAGTTTTCACCACCATTTGAGGAGGGGACCAGAAAAGCTGTTGCCGGTGGTGATTGTCACCAGCTACTCATTTCCATAGTGTTGATGGACCCCAAAGTGCAGCTGAGAGGAAAGGGGGCAGAGACCCAGCAGACAGACCATTAGTAAGCAGACTTGCAGCCATTTGAAAGTACTAATCAGGGGGTGCTCAGCTTCTCGCTGACTTCTGTGTGTGCCTTTCAAGAGGGCAAAACGCGCCCCTAGCTTTTTGTATGTACATTAGTAAATTATTCTGGCTTGGAATTGGAATAGGGGAGGAGACAAAAGATTGGAAGAAAGGTCCGAGTCTTTTAAAATTGTTGAGTCACTGTATAGCCGAAGTTTCCATTTGTTGATTGACAGCCTGAGAGGGTTTGCAGCCGTAATAGAAATCTGTTTACTGTGCAGCATTGCATTGCATCCTAATGCGCTGGCACTGTAGTGAAAGGTGACTCATCTTCAGGGTTCTCTGTTGGAGGAAAGGGACCAGCACCTCCCTCCTCAGGGGACTTCACGCCTGTTTATGTGAGCTGGAGGTTTGGCCCTATTAAAATTAGTCTACTGATTATGAGCAAGGACCAAGGCCTGAATATTTTCCATGCTTTGCCAAAACTATTGGCAAGTCAGACTGTGTAATCACATTTGGGATTAAAGATGGGAAATGACTTTTGTTCAGATTGTCATTAGTTTTATAGATGTTTCTTTTAAAAACGATTCAGCAATGTAAGCACTTTTTATTGCCGTTTCAAATTAGAGGTAGAAAAATACTGCTTTAGTTAGTATTTGTAATATAGGATTTGCAACTTCAAAACTAGAGATGATACAAGTGTTTTCTTTTGTGTCCCTATTTCTTTCTTCCTCACATTTCCCACTGGTCTTTTGTAACTCTCCATTTAGGCCTTTCACTGGTGCTCTGGGTTGTCAGTATCTCAGCTCCTTTTTCCTTACAAAGGACAGTTAGAACAGATGTTTCACATGTCTGTGGTCCTCATGAAAACAAGTAAGTCTTGAGCCCCCGGTGATGATTTTTGGTAGAACCTCAGCCACCCTTTGAAGTTAAGATTGAGTAGGGGCTTTTTGTAATGCCTTAAGGCATTAAGTTAGGATCCTCAAGTCAGGATTTAAGTCTCTTGATAAGGGGCTGAACAAACACAGTTTGCTTTCCTGTTGCTTTCCTTTCTCTTTTGCTTGACCAGGATAAATGTTTTCTTCTCCCCTTTTATAGCGGCCTTCTTTTTCCATCTTCTGGGTGCCTGTGGGTGCACGCACTGAGCTAGTGGTTAGCCCCTTCTACAGCTGTTCCCCTTCTCTCACAGAATAGCTTTCATTTTACTCTGCTAACATAGCACCATAAAAAAAAATCTCTAGATGGAACAGAATAGCAGCTGTGTAATAGAGGCCAGCACACTGTCCCAATGGGAAAGGGTCAGCATCCAGGGATTGAGGTTATTCAGGAAATGGGAAACATATTTTTTCTTTCTTTGGCCTACCTCTGACAAACTACTGTTCTGCTGCATAACATTTTTATTCTCACCGGAGTATGACAAGCTGCAGAATGGAGCAAATATATATTGCAGACGTTTGTAAAATGTTAGATGACTTTCCCTCAGACGTAAGTAATAGGTATACTGGTTTAGGTGCAGGAAGAATAATAATTCACTCGGAAAGCAATAGCAATTGGCCTTGCATCTAATATAATTGAAAATGGTGAAATATAAAGGACTGTCACTGTCTTATTTTTTCCCCCTTTTTCCCTGAAATTAACCACAGTCTATTATTGTATGCACTATATGATCATGTCATTTGGGAGCAATAAGTGACCACATTTCCTCAACTTTATCACCACCATTCTTGATTCTCTGTTGTTTAAATTCGCTCCATTCCTAATTTCTATTTTGAGCACATATGCTGGCCTTTAATTTGCAATTTACATGGATGATAGGGTGCTATTCAGAAACCTGTTTCTGCTGCCTTTGTGGTTTTCACCTCACCTCATGTGGTCATTAGGATGAACAGCATATAATTAACTAAACTCATGTAAAGCCCTGAATTGCAAGTGCTTGTCTGTACATCTAATTTCTTTAAAAAATAAATACCGAAGCCTAACCAAAACAAAACTTCCAGTGGTTTTAACAAACTGTAAGAAACTGTTTTTATTTTATTGATAGGTGATAGGTCAGGATGTATTTCATCCAACTTACCTATTTATTTATTTTATTGTTGATTACACTTGTGTGCCATTCATTGTAGGTTAAAAATTCAAGATCTTATTTGTGGGCACGCAGCCAACAGAATGATGTCTATTTAGCTTGTCTACTTAGCTGAAGCCATATGGATGCAAAATTGCTTTCCTGTTGTCTGTAAAATATTTGCCAGAAAAGCCCTCTTTTTTCATAGCATTTCTATAAATTGTATTTGTAGAGTAGTTGAGGCCGTTGAGTTTGTTACGTGGTACCCAGAGTAAAACATTGCATTGGAAATAGGAGAGAGATCCACAGATTCTAATAAGTGAAGCTTCAAGCTGAGAGAACCTCTGAGGACTTCGTGACAGGGAATTGCAATGTTGGCAGGTATAGTAACTTGTTAAACTGTAGAAAAAAATCTAAAAGATTGTTCAGAAAACAGAAATTATACCAATACTTTCCATTTCCTGTAGACTTTATTTTCTGTTTTCTACATTTGCATGAAACGTCGTTTTTTCAGATGCTTTGACTACCAGGGACAACTTTCTTTATCGTTCAGAATAATTCAGTTAGACAACTCTTGGAAATTGGCTTGGATTGGCATGTGTGCAATTGCGAGGGAGGGAGTAAGTGTAGGGGATCTTTAAGAGGAAAAAGAAGGATAGCTTGTGGTCTGGGAGCTTTGGAACGTCCCTAGGTCTTTGCCATTTCTCTGACTGCTTTGCTAAATGGATAATATCTGGACCTCTCCTACCTGTGGTTTAGCCTTCTGGCCACAGTTTTCTGAGCCCATTCATTATAATAGTGGCTTTTGCACAAACAGAAAGGTTCAGTCTTGTACTCCACATGCTGGAACGCTCTGCCTTCTTGTTCCCATGATTGTGTCAAGTAGCAGATCAGTAGTTGTTGGGAGGGGGAGAGGCTGGAGTGCAGTGGTGTCATTTAATTACACAGCAGCCACATGGTTGTGTATTACTGAGAAAGATGTTCACCATGCTAGAATTACCGTTTCTGTTGCGGAGTTGCGATCTGCTAGACTGTGGTACTCAGTTTCGTAGTAGGGTTTTAGTTTATATCTTAAAAAATGACGTACTCTTAGAATTCCTCTGAAATTTAATGACAAAACCAGATATTTGGGTCTTTGCAGAGCTTTCATTTTCTATTATGCTTCTAAACAAAACTGATTTTAATTTTAACATTACATTTTTATTTCTGCATTTCCACCTTTGTTAACCTGTGTGTGGGTCTTACTAAACAATTCCTATCAAGCAGGACTGGGTTGGAATAAATGATATTAGGCAGTTTTACTGCATTTGGTGGCTGAGTTGGTAAGTCACTCAAAGATTATCTATGAACTTCTAACTTTTGTCTGTATTTTTTAAATAATTTTTTTTTTTGGCAGGTATCATATAAGAAGGATGTGCAAGATAGTCATAGATACACTGAAGTGCTGAACAGACCAGACATCAGGATAGCAACTGAGATAACAAAGATAATTAGCAATGTATGTTCTTCCGTTAGTCATTGAGCATATTTTAAAACATATTGCTTTATTTATTCCAATTGCACTGAGACCATGTAGAATGCTGCTGAAATATTCAAATTTCATATCACGAAGAGAAAACTTGCAACCCCAAATCTGCCATGTAGGTTAAAAAAAAAAAAACCAAAAAAACCCCTAAACTTGTCTGGAGTGTTACAGAGTTATGGGTTTCTTCTGTCCTAATGTCAACAACATGCAGTTTGCGATTTTTGATCATTGTTCTAAAGGCAATGTTAAGCTTACGAAAGTTGGGTTTTGTTTCAGCCTTATTGATGCTAACCAAACTCAAAACGGGTCAGCATATGCTGGTGTGCCAAACTGCACTTCAAAAGACATACCAGACCTCTTTTCACCTCTGCACAAAAGGAGATTGCATCCTAGGACTCCCCTTCCTCCTCACCTCTTGGCTGACAGTGGCAGGGAAACACAACTCCTTGCTGGCCGCCTGAGCACCTCTTGCATGGGGCTCTCCTCCCTCAGCTCCGTGCTGAAATTCTTTTCCCTCCCACTGTGACATCTACTAATGGATAGGTCAAGGAGCAATTTGAGAAGTGGTAATGTGTGATGCAGTTTAATATTTTATTGTAGAAAAGTGAAACACTGTATATATATTAAAAGCTGTGAGCCAAGATTTTAAAACAACTGCTAACAGTTTCAGGTGAGACTCTTAATTAGGCATGGGGAGACAGCTTTAAGAGAGCTTCTGAGATTCAGCTTTTGGATATTCAGCATTTTATGACAACCAGAAACTTCTAATGTGTCTTATGGTCAACACCCAGAGTTGCTAACTACATATGACTTAGAGTGGCTTTGGGACTTTTTTCCCCTCAGTCTATTATGATGTATCCTTGCTAATTTTTAGGCAATGGGTAATTTTGTTTGAGATATTGCAAAGCACCTATTGTAGATTCATCTGTACTGTTTTCTAATGCATTTTGGAAGAAATGTGCAGTGATTTGCATGGGAGGTAGTTCAGCTAGAAAGATCACATAACAGCAACCCTGTGGGACTAATTCCACTCTGTTACACCATTGCAACCTTATTGACATCCAGGAAGATTGCAATGGCAAAACTGAGAGTGGAATTTGACCTTATATTTCAAAAAGCTGCCTCTCAGACTAGTTTTGTTTCAAGACTATTTTCAGCTGCTACAAATAATCTTGTGTGAAGCGCAGACCACATATTAAGAAATGCTGAGCCACTGTAACTCATTCTGCCTTGATTGGGAGCAGTGGGAAAACAACATTTCTCAGGCTTAAGCTATGCATTTGGTTAAAGTTGAATTTTGTGAATGCTGTGCATTGTGTTTTAGAATAAATAAATATTATGTTGTTAATGAGCTGAAGTCTTTCTCAGAGCTGATTAGAACATTAGTGAGAGCAGTGTCAATGCAGGCCACTAAGTGATACTTTCTTTCATATTCGTTTTAATGCTTACATTTCCTGTGATAAAACCTAAGCAAACAATTTAATAATAATTCACATTCATTTGTTGTGATTTTTTTCTAAGGCTGAGTACAAGAAAGGAAAGGGAGAAATGAATAAGGAGCCTGCTGTACTTGGAAGACCAGATTTTGAACATGCTAAAGGAGTTTCTAAACTCTTAAGCCAAGTAAGATTCTCCATCTTTTACAATGACTTCATTCAGATATCCCATTCCTGGTAATGCAAGAAAATATTTAGCTTTTTAGATTATTATCTTAAATTGCTTGAAGATAATGTTCCCAAATCCACTTCATATAGAATTGCAATGTTTGGTAAATTTAAGATTCTTCATAGATACAGCTTTATGCAGAAATACAATGAACTTTTGCAATGACTTTTACAACTCAGCCTTGGTGGGGATGGTGACTGTTTTATTCATACAGATTATCTAGGATTTCTAAAATATTAACTGTATGTAATTTAGAGGCAAATTTTGCTACTCATTCAGTTTGAGTGGAACTTTATCCCGTGATTAATCCCACTGAACTAACTGGGGTCTTTTGTGTAGCTGCTTGCTAATGTGAGTAATGGGATCTGAATTTGGCCTGACATGTAAACCGCCCTCCCTCCCTCCCTCCCCCTGCAATTGAACCTTTTATGTACTACTTTCTGTTATATATTAACCTCGGGGGGGAAAAAAAAAAAAAGAAGAATGGAAGAGTTACGTTAGTCCACAACTAAAAATTAGGGGACCTGATATTCCGTTTTCCCTTTATGACAATTGTACTGCTACGGATCGGCCTCATATCATAAGAAGGGATTTTTGATTGCTGACCTGTTTCTTTCTGGAATAGTTCTTTAATTGTACCGTGTGTGGAACAGTTCTTTAATTGTGCCATCCCCTTGCTAGTAATCCTGTCAGACCGCACTCAGAGCTTTTGCAAACCTAGAAACAAATTCTGCCCTTCTGTAGGAAGGGGAAGACTCCCCTTTGATTGGAGAAGGCTGTGTCAGTCTTCCCTGAACTGGAAAAAACCTGAGTAGAGTAGTGCATAGACAGAACAGTCTGCAAATCAGTGTCGTGCAACAGCTCCTTGTGATCTGATACTAAAAGTCTTCATTAGAACTAAAATAAAATGAGAACAACATATCATAGAGACCAATCTGCAAAACAGTGCAGTATCTGTTTTTAAGAGGCTGACCTCCTTTTTGCTGTCATCAAACATTGCACTTAAAGTATGTGCTACATAAGTAATTTCCTCTTTCATATTGCAACATTGTTAATTTTGAAGTGTTAATACTGCCCAAGGAGAAAAGGAAAAAAACCCACACCCTTTGTAGTTGCTCTGTCAGTGAGAATTTCAGAATCAAAATTAGATTACGTTTTTCAAATAGATTTCTTTCTCCTGTTTTGTAATGGATTATGCGTTGTACCTCAGCTGAAGGGGAAGCCGGCTAACAGATTCTTAGTTGTCTGTGTTTATTGTCATTCATGCTTGGAAGTCAAACTGCACTCTCTTGGAAGAGCCAGTGCTGTGCTGCTCAGACTGGGTGTCAGTTATAAAGTGTCTGTCAATTAGCAAACACTTGCGGTGTTTTTTAAAAGACTCCTTGTATGTATCTAAACTTAGTGCGTGACATGCTTTATTTCTACCTACGGGTACCTACACACTCATTTCCTTGCAGCCTGTTTCAGAATGTAGTGAGCTTGCAGCTGCCTGCAGTCACAAACAGACCCAAGGCAGATCCCTTTCCAACAGCTCTCTCCGTCTCGCTAAGCCTGGTACCACTGGTTTCTGGTGTGGTTAACAATCACAACGATCAAAAAATACCAGCAGGATCATGGGGTCCTGCAGTCTGGTGCTGTGCCAGCTGCGCCATAGGCTTCAGCAGTGCACTTTTTAATCTCATTTTTATTAGATGTACTTTTCCTCTTGGACAATGCATGCTGCATCTGCAAAACTGGTAGCGTTATGATAGAGTCACTTCACTGCCAGGGACTGAGATGGCATCAGTTCCAGCTGAGTTTGTTCTGCAGAAGAGAACATGTGGCATGCAGTTTAAACTTCATTAGCACTTAATCGGAGTCCAAATAGTGCAGAAGCTGTGGCAGGAAGAGAAGAGCAGTTGACAAAATGTAGCTTATGTATAGTTTATTTGTAAATCAGATTCCCATTAATCCTGCTTGGTTCAACCTCTGCAGCCGATGGGCCTGGGTCTGAGTTTTGTGATCCTTCCTCCTCTTGTCCTCCCAGCAGTCGGTCTACATTCATGTGGCTGGTGGCAGTGTCCGTGATGGGCCACGTACTTTTAAAAAGGGAGGTAGTGCTTCAGTCTAACACTCCGCTGTCCCCCAGCTGCATGGAGGTCGTAAGTACCAGGCTGTTTGCAGGTGCGGGAAGGGCACGTTCAGCCGTTCCTTACCTGCTCTGAAGGAAAGCCTGTGGCCGTGAGCTGTCTGACGTTTTTATATATTATTTGAATCATTTTAACACTTAGGCATACTGATTATAAATCAAAAGCAGCCTGTACAAGCACAGAAAAATGAAGATGACCCTGTATCCAGAGAGGTGGGTGGTGGGGCAGGGTGAGGAATGCACCTGTGCTGTGGATGAGGAAGGGACCTCAGTGTGGGTCAGTTGTGTCCATCCTCTTCATGCAATGATCGTGAAGCAGGCTTGTAATAGTTACGCAATTTAAAAAATAGTTAGACATCTCCTTTTTGTCTGTAGACTTTCTGGCTTTTAGGGTTTGCCTTATATATCTGTTCTCAGCAAATGGGAGCGTTAGAAACTTTTTGTGCTGAAAGTTGATAATCTCCCTCAATAGCATGAATCTATAAGCTGTGACATGCAGAGAAATATTAGTTATTTGACCCTCGCAGTAAATTTGCAAAGTTGACAACTCTGATGGATGTAATGGAAAGAGAAAATGATAACGTGTTTTAATGTGGTGCATATGGGTAGGTAATTTAGGGAGTATAGAGAAAAGGAGCAAGAAGAGGTCAGGTAGTGTGGGTGTAACGAAGAGAGAAAGCAATCAAAGCAAGCAGGAAGGCAAACAAAGTGAAGAAAATAGTGTTAATGTTTGACTGGCACTCAAGGCTGTACCAAATTAGTGTACCAAATCTCCTCTCCCTCTCCCTCTCCTTCTTTTTTTCTTTTCTTCTTTTTTTTTTTTTTTGAGAAAGCTTTTGACAACAGCAGTAGCAAAAATAATAGCTCCCAGGGCTAGTGTATTTACCCCTAGCACAAGGTAACCCCTTTCTGTTGATTTTAAACTAAATAAAACAGAAACTGTGTTAGCTTTCATGTCATTTTGCTGAAAGTAAATTGCATAATATGAGATATTTTTTGTATTTTCTATCACAAAAGTCTTGTTTGTCTTCTATTTCATGTTGTTAGCTTTCTCAAAAGCTACTGATACTAAATACTTTCCTCATGGTGTTTAATAATTGATTTTATGATAAACAATTTTGTATATTCTGTTTTATGCTAGATCAGTGTGGTGCTTATTGTTTCATAGATAAATTGTTAGAGGTAAAATCTTTTTTAAAAATATACCTTATGTGAGATTATCAATAACAACACAAAGAGCCTAAGATTTTCTCTTTTTTTGCTTTAAACTCTGCTAGTGCTTTTAGGAACCAATATTTTAATTTAGCTCTTTGTTTATGTTATGTTTCCTTCAATGTCTAAGCTCTCTGACAGGTTTTTCATTTTTTAATATGTTTTCATATGGTCATGAGGAAATGCTTTAGCTGCAAGTGTCTGCTTCATCCTGGGATGCCAGTGGTTGAATGATTCAATTTTGTAGCTTCTTTGTAAATCTGAACAGTGGGTGATGTCATCCACTTCTGAAACTGAACACTGCCCTGTGTGAACAGCTTTGAACTACAGATTTGATTTAGGAATGTTGCTGCAAAAGCTTCAAAAGACACTGTTCCATCCAGCTGCAGTTCTGACTTTTATAGGTTTTGTGCAAGGCCAATGAGAAGTTTGTTTATCCAGGCTCTACTTATTATCAGTTTGGTTTTTCAGGGATGTGTTGCTGTGTTAAAAGCCTACAAAGTCTGCTCATTCTTCAGCAACAGTTAAGAGTGCAGCATCCACACATTTCTTTTAAATTAACCCCCACTATAAACTCTCTTAAAAAAAAAAAAACAACACAAATGTAAGATTTTAATTAAGACTGTAAATAGGTAACCATCATTTTAAACCCTCATTAGAGTAGAGCTTTTGGCTAACGATGAAATTTGTTGATAAGCTTTCACTAACAACTGTCATTTCTACTCCCACATTTCTGTTTGCTGTTCCACCAGGTTATAGCGTTGCTAAGATTCCCCTACAGGTGTTTCCAAAATCACCAAGGAAGTATTTTTCTTGCTTGTTTTTAATTAGAACCCTTTTCTCAGGCATATTTTTCCTTTAAGCTACATTCATAACTTTCCTCTGTTTCAAAGAAAGCTAAAATCCTGTGCGAGTTCCTTCTCTGCGACTCATTCATTTACTCGCTCTTCTCTCCTTCTCCCAAGCCTCCCCCCACCCCACACTTTCTTTCGAGAGGGAGAAGGAAATAGGAAAATACAGATAAAAGAGAAAGTGAATGTATGTGTAGCTTTCAATGAGATGAATCCCCTATGACAAGTCAGAGTTAAATTACTGCTGGAAGTGCTCTTGAGATACTGGCAGGGTCATCTGATATTATTGTGCTGCCTCCATTTTGCCCCAGAGCGACATGTGCGGTGGTGTCGGCGCGGAGAGCAGAGGTAATGAGCAGCGCAGGCAGACAAGGCGGCAGGGCCTGGAGGGAGCGAGACGTCCCTCACTGAAATAGAGACGTTTACAGTCGGGCTGGTGGGTAGTCCCCTTAAATTTGGGAGCCTTCTGCACTTTGGCATCAGGATGCATAGTCCCTTGAAGACTGGATTCACTGGCTCCCACTCTTCCCTTTCGTAGCAGCGATGTGATCTGAAGTGACACTAACTAGGATTTATTACTGAAGTCTCCAGATTGAAACGTATTGGTAAAAAATCGTTGAAAAAAAAAATGGCATGAAATAGCTGCAGCTGGAAGATGACAAGCCAGTTGTGAAGAGAGGTCCCTTTGGCACTGATATTTTCACTCTTAATGAGAATATCAGGGACCACATTGTGCGTTTAATCCGCACGCACAATTTGAGGCCATTTGTTGACTGGGCCGAAGACAGCCTTAAGTCATTGGCTGTTTAAGCTTGTGTGCAGTGTCCCTGTGGTGCGTTCTGATGCCTAAGGAGTAAAAAGACAATTTTGCTCACTATGCTGATTTGATCACTCTTTTCAGAGGCTTTCTGAATCAGATATTCCAGCACTGCCTGATTTTTATTAGACGGCAAGTTCTGGACACACCTTTTAAAAGAGAAAACCCCTCTAATGTATTCCTTCACTGCTCATGCAGAATATGGATTTGCCTTTGACAAAGGCAGTGTCTTTGCATTCAGAGACATGCTTTTGCAGCTGATCCAAAGCCAAGGCAAATATCAAACAATATGAACCAGATGAATCTACCAGAAGGCAAGAGAAAATCTTTTCTAGAGTTAGTCTGAAAGATTATAAAGTTCATCATGTTCCTGAAGAAGTTTCTCTTTCAAAGTTACAGTGTTTTAGAGTTTATTTCCTTTGAAAAATTAATGTAAGTGCTGGAATCACAATGGTGTTCTTGAACATATATGGTTAGTTTCTCTTTGGGTGGCTTAGTTTTGGTTTCTTATTGTCCTGATTAATGAAATATTGGGCATTGTGGCTAAACATAATGAGGTTTTGTAAGCTAAACCATGTTGAGAATCTTCTGTAGCAAGGAGAAACCAAAAAGAAAAAGAAAAACCTTCCCACAACTAAAGCTGAGAAAAAAATAACTTTTGAAGGAGATTATTTGAGGTGGTGTAACCACTTTATGAGGCATTCATGTGGGAATAGAGAAAAAAGGAATATGGAAAAGAAGCTGCATATTTATTTAGTGCAGAGCGTGGCAAATTGTAATGGATGTTGCATAGGCTCAGATATCAGGTGTCTGACTAACATTCATGAAAGCAGCATAATTCAGACTGAACTTTATTCTCCTCCATTATGCCCAGCTGCTGGAAAGCAGCAAGGCATGTGTGCAGAGTCTCCAGATGTTTGATGATCATGCACAGTAAAGGGAGGCGAAGGAGAGAGGTTTACTATTTTCTCAGTTTCATCTTTCCAGATACTGAATTCAGTTCTGGAGCATGTTTTATGGAATTGTTGTGGTTTATCTACTTCTAACACCACTGCATGAACATTTAAATACTGCTTAGTTACCCCTATACATTTTACCTTCCTCCCCACCCCCTGCCTTTTTTTAAACAAAAAGAAAAGACAGTGAGAGTGATAACAGGCAGACATTCAATTATACTTTCTGACACGGTAATGAGATGGGCATTGTCCCCAAGAAGGGACTGTACTACAGAGAGATTGCTAGGGACTTTTGTGGCACAATTAGAAATAGAACCGGGACTCTGGTGACAGCCTTGCACACAGTGCACAGTAACACAGTGACCTGGCAGTGGGAAAGCAGTGGACTGGGAAGGTCAGTTCTGATGCCAAGAGTGATTGAAAAATTTACAACAAATGATATGTTTTACAAGTTTTGCCATTTTTTTTTTGTTAAAAATACATTTTGGCATTAATTAGAAACTGAATGATTCTCAGTGATGAAATTATTATTGCTAGTCAAACAATTAAGTTCTGGTTTATTGTGATTACTCAGGCGAGACACGTGGTTTTGGTTTTGTTTCCTTGTATAAATCCTTTAGCACCAATAATTGCACACGACAATCTTAAAAATATTTTTTTTATTTCAGTAAAATTCAGTTACATGAAAATTAATTTGAAAACAGCACAAGACAGTGACAGGTGTGGCTAAACTGAGCTTCTTTAAACATCAGTGCTTAAGGATTTATGGATAAAGCAATTGCCTTTAATGAGCTCCTTTGTCATCTGAATTCTTTGTGCATCCTTCCAGTACTACATGTTAATATCATATATGTTTGTTCTGGTGGAAGGTGAAATACAAAGAGCAGTTTAATAAGGAAATGAAGAACCACCAGTACAATCCTCTTGACAGTGCTTCCTTCAAGCAAGCACAGGTTGCATCCACCTTGGCAAGTGATGTAAGTGAATTTGCTTTGTGTTTTACATGTACTTACATCCTGAAAAACCTAACATTTGTTCTCAAGCAGAGATACTTTTTACATCTTAAGAAGTACTGAGAGCAGCAGTCTCTGTAATATGTTGTATCTGTACAGCAGGTACAGAATGTTATCCACTTCTTCTACTGCTGCTGATAAAAGGCCTTCTCCAAGGCCCTATAGATGAGACTCATCTCACTTAACTTTCTGTCAAAAGGTATGGCAGCTTACTCTGAGCTAGTCACCTTCTGCTCATTCCCTTTGTATTCAGGGAAAGGTATAAACAGGTCTAGAGGACAATTCGTCTGACCTATTCTTCATGCCTGTCTTCAGGTGAACAAAGTGCCTGTTTCTCTCTTCTGACTGTAGAGGGAGGTTAGGGTGTGAGTAGCTCAGATTTGTGTGTCTGTCTTCTAGGCTTCATTCTGCCTGTTGAACTTCAGTATGGTATTGCAAAGTACTGCAGTTACCCAGTTCAGTATGGGTTCCTACTATTGGAGTCAGATTGGAGAAAACTTCAATATCGTGTGATTTAGCTGTTAGGATGGTATATTTAATGGTGTGTCTAATGCTAAAAGTGTGAGATCTTCTTTGAGACAGTGATCTCAGACAGCCTAGAGACAACCTTTCATTCTGCAGGCCTGTGTTTGCAAAGCATGGGGCACCACCCAAAGGGAACAGGAAGGGTCTAACGGAACATGAATTGGTTCCCAAATCTGAACATTTAGTTAAAAAAAAATTAGTCTGAAAAAAAGGGTGAAAATACATATTATTTTGTTACAAATATGTAAGTTGAGTATGTTGATTTGAAGTCTGCCTGAATTGGTGAAGAGCATGATACAAGTCTGAAGGTGACTAAATGTATTGGTGTGAAAGATTTGTCATCCAGGATAGGTAAGCATTTCTTATGTGGCAGGGGAGCTGGATAATGTTCCTCTAGTAAAGATGGGCCTCCAGCTATCAAAAGTACAGAAAATCCTACTGCAGGCTAATAGGAAGTTATCTACTGCTGCCTCATTATCTTTTTGCCTTAGGTGACTGTACAGCTTCTCTTTACTGAAAGCAATCTGTTTAAAATAAAATATCCTGGAGGACTACCCTTTAAGTATTTTATATAGAACTTTGTTTTGGGGTAGTTAGTGTAATATCTGAATCAGGAAGAAAAGAAGAAGAATCAACAATGTTTAAAATAATTAAACTCAATAAATTGAGGAAGATACTGTTGATTAAATGTTTTCTACAAAAAATGTTTGGAAACAAAAGAAAATACAAATAATATTATTATATACATAGTTCCTTTCTAATCTGAAAAGTCATACAAGGTATGTTTTTTTGTGGTTGTTTTAAGTGTCCTTTTTGAGGAAGAGTTTGAGTAGTTACCAAGGAGAGAGAAGGAATCCTGTACTGACTTTTTTCCCCCAAATAATAGTAAACGAGCACCATCTAGTGGCTGATACAGATTATTCAGGCAGGCCGTTTGGGTTTTGTGTTTCTGGAAGCACTGTAATGAGAAACTGAGAGTTATTTTGTTAATCTTTATTTTACGTAACCTGAGTTATCTTTCCAGGTGAATTACAAGAAAGATTTGGAAAGCCTACATGATCCAGCCTCCGATCTACCAAACCTACTTTACTTAAACCATGCGTTAAATATCAGCAAAATGCATAGTGATGTAAGTTGCCCTTATAATGATAATATTTGGCTGGTCTGAAAAATCTTTATAATAAGAAATGCCGTATAGATTGTTACTGTAGAATACATCAATTTTTGGTTCAGGCTTCCTGGTCTCAGTAAAGAAAGGGCTTGTAGAGAGAGAGAATTCTTTTATTAGAACAGCTAATGTAGTGGGGAAGAATCACACAGACTTCTGGTACATGAATATTTCTTCTTATATGTCTGAAAACTTGCCTATTTTTTCTTTAGTTGATCTAAGATATTTCTTGCCCTGCGAACCTTGTTTTGCCTAAGGTCTTATATATTGCCTTTCATCTGCAGGTCTCAAAGCACTTTATGGAAGTGACCATTACGCCAGTTTTATCTTTGGAGCTCTTGCATAAATAGCAAATGTTTTTCTCTGACCTTCTCTGTCTAAGCCTTTTTTTCCCTGAAATGTGTCAGGCTTCCTACACTGGATCAGGTGATAAGCACGTACCCCATCCTGTCACATAACAGGACTTGCCCCTCAGGGGAACAGGTAGGAGGAGTGCAATGTGAGGGTTGAAATGAGGAGGAAGATGTGGGAAAACCCTGGCTTCTGTGCAACACTGGAGCTTCTCTCCTACTCCAAGAGCACTTAGGCTACATGCACAGCATTAGTAGGCTGATCAGCTGCATTTATCAGCTGCGTTTGGGTTTTTGACTCCAGCAGCCAAAGAAAGGCTGCAGCTGTGATGCGTGATTGGGTGGTGTTGGGAAGGAAGACTGGTGGCTGTTGGTGGGAGGTGAAAGCTTCACAGGCAGAGGGTGAGCCCTAGTGAGTACTGTGTGGCTCATTCTGAGTCAGTGCCACTTAGGGAAGCCTGTGTCTGAAATAAGCAAAATAATCCGTCCTTCCAGGCTGTATTTGATTTTTGTGTTACTCTTTGGTGAATTGAAGCCTGCTGTTTATGTGCCTCACTCCCACGTGTGAGGCTAACACTAACTATCCCTTTTTGTATGGATGACAACTGAGTTTATAGCTTTCACTTCCTACATTCTTCATTTGTATTTTGTCTGGCCTAATTTTAGTTTCATGCAATATAATGTAAGATGGGCATTCTTTTTACTGGTTAAATGAATGTCCTCAGTGTGGACTTCATCTGTTTGTCATCTTATCTCTGATAGGATAGAAATAGGGATACTCCCTTAGGACTGCTCACTTCTGGCAGTAAAGTGTTGCCTTTGCTCGGCACAATTTTTTTCTTTCTGTTGCTCAAGAATGGTTGATTCATGCCATCTCTGTCCTCTTCTGAGGACTCTCTAAGTATGAAGTCTCTGGATTTTTTGTTGTCCAGATACTGGTGGATACTTTTTCTTGCTGTGACCCGGAAGAAGAACGCTTTGCAGATCCCCAAGGTCCTATAGCTGTTAGTCTTTTATAGAAATCCCATTTTTCAAATCATTCTCAGATTTGATACCTCTCCCCCTACGCCATCTCTTTGATTTGCATCTCTTTGCATCTTTTAAATCTGTTGCTGTGGTAGAGACTCTTGAGATTCTAATGGATTTCAGGCTAAAAAATAGAAATTAGACGTATTTGATTTTGTGAAACAATGTGAATACATAGGACTTCAGAAAGCAGATCAGATGCTGCAGTTTAGTGTAGTAAAAAGCTGTGCAATTTCCCTCATTTGTTTTTGCAGATTTTTTTTTTTATTCTAATTCCATTAATTGAAGAAAGGAGTAAAAAGTGTGAACTCAGTATCTGTAGATGGAGGAAATTTTTTGTTTATTTCCACTTACAGAATACAATGCAGAAGCTGTTCTGTTGAGTGACATTTATAATTACTTCCACTAGGAGGCAAACAGAGACCATCACATGTGTTCCTATGTACTTAAAATGTAAATAATAATGGTTATTTTTTGCAAAATAAATATTTGAATTTTGCATAAGGAGGACAAGCATTTTCTCTTGGATTTTATGATGTTATTTTTATCATATCCTTTCTTTCATTTCATCACATTATACTTTTTTTTCAGAAAATGGAGGTATTTTAAATTCAAATCTAGCATTAGAACTCCTGAAGTGGAACTGAGACGTACTTTATTTTATGGTGTTTCTCCCATAGTTTGTATTTTAAATGGTATTTAAATTGCAAATCTTCTGGATTTTGTTTGTGAAAACATTCTTGGATATTTTTTGTTTCAGTATGAATATAAGAAATCATTTAAGGAAAGCAAGGGCTTCTATCATTTCACCCTGGATACAGCTGAACAAATTCATCACAAAGAAAATGCGTTGCTTCAAAGTCAGGTATACACAATCATAAATAAGTCTTGCACAGATAAAGATGCAGCATTCTTGCAGTGATTAAATCAGGCACAAAATTGCATGATAAATTACAGTGATGTACAATGCATATTCAATCAGAAGCACCCCATGAGGAGAGAGAAGAGTGTTTTTGTAGGATCAGAACCCAGTGCAGAAGCCTGACAATAAAAGAGATTCTTAACACATTTTTCACATTGAGACATCAGTGTTTTTGAGGAGACAAATACATTAAAATGACATCAGTCACTCTGAATATCATGTTTTGATTTGTAGTTGTTTGTTTTATATGGTTCATGTAGAATATTACACCATATTGCTCTGTGATTTATTAGGATAAATAATATGTTTGCCCATGGTCACACAGTATCTTAATCAAAAAGGCATGAATGAATGAGTTTAAAGGGTTCTCCAGGCTTCCAAACAAAGTATGTTTGCTTCATAGGTTAGCGTAAGGATGTATGTTAGTATCTTAAATCTACGTCCTTTGGTGCAATTTCGCTGTAGTTTTAGTGTCATATTCATGGGTAACTGTGAACCAAAAGTAGATGCAAGTCCAAACCCAATTGAGTCAGTAGTTTTCCTTCTGTTTTGCCTCCCACAGGTGCAAACAAGAGTGTATTTCAGAATGGTACCATGGAGCCTGAAAAACAGACCTATGGGGCCTGACTGTAAAAGAGATGATTGTTGTTGTTGTCAGTACAGTTAATGTGTTGCTTAGCGGAAGCATGCCTGGGTGGTTTTACTGAAAAACTGGTAACTGCTCAGACAGGGGTGATTCAGCAAAAATCATGCAATTGGTTTGAGGGATGTAACTGATGTTCCTCACTCCTGCTGTCTTCCGAGTCCATCATTTTAGATCTGACACATTGAAGCAAAAGAATAAATTATTCCCCAGAAGAATTTTCCTGGTCTAGCTGCCCTGTTCCTCCCACAGGTTAAATTTGGGAGGAATCTTCTAAGTCAAGACCTCTAAGGCATTTGGCGAAGACAGAATTTTTCTAAAGCCGTAGCAAGCAGTCAGATCTTGCATACTCTCAACTGTTAAAAGTATTTATTTTCATTTTCCTAGGTCAAGTATAAAGAGAATTATGAAAAATCTAAAGGCAGATCAATGCTGGAGTTTGTGGATACACCGATGTATCAAGTTTCAAAGGAGGTTCAAAAGATGCAAAGTGAGGTTAGTAAAATGTGTGCTTGAACTAGCAAAATTTAGATCACTAGAGAGGTTAACAGTCTTAAGAAAATGGCTGAAGCAGATTATAAAGGTTTTATAAATTGAGGATAGGAAAGAATTAGCACTGAGTAGTTCTCCTTTCTAGTCTATAGCTCAGTTCTTTCATCAAATCATTTTTTTCTCTAAAGGCTATTGGTGCTAACACTAGTCAGAGGTTGATGGTATATAGCATCACTTAAATGAGATTTGGGAAGAAGCTCAAAAGGTCATCTCGATCAGAGATTACTGACTTTTTTCCAGGGACTCCTTCTCCCTCTTCCCTTGAAGAGGCAGAGATGATATTGGAGTGAAAAGCTAGGGGAGATCATGGGCAAGGTAATGCAGGCTTGCTCTCTGCAGGTGAATGGATGATGTGGGAGAAATTACATTAGTGGTCACCAGGTTGCTCTTTCTGTTTCTCTGGGCTCCTCTTTGCTGTCGGCTTACTGCTGGGGAGAGCACAGTAGGAAGCTTTGCAGGAGGAGAGCAATAAGTAAGGGAGAAGGACCACATCCTTTTGCCTTTAATTCCTTCTGTAATGAGGGAGGGTTCTTGGGCAGGAGGGAGTAGAACCGTGGAGCCCAGTCCAGCCCTGTGCCGTAATGGGGATATGCTCTTGCCTCATCGGCTGGATGAGCTCAGTAGTGGAGAAAGACTGCTCCCCGGACCAGAACAGCATCAGCTATTCTAAGCCGATCCTGGCCATATTTTTCTAACTTAAAAACTTCTGTGGTAGAGGTTTCATGAGCTCCCGGGCAGTCTAGTCCAGTGCCTCACTAGCCATTCTATGAGAGAGTTTTTCCCTGCATCTCCCTTGCTGCAATTTGAGTCTAGTACTTTTCCTATCCATCATGGAAAACAGATGATGACAACTCATTGGTAGCAAATTTTTATATGTTTAAAAACCATTATCGTGTGTGCCATTTGTCTTCTCTTTTCTGTATTAAGCAAATCTGTTTCTTAAACATTCTCTTTAGAAACAGCATATATATATATCTATAGATGTATATATATAGTGTTCATCTGAACTGTGTCTCATAAAGATAATCTAGGTAATAAAATGAGTAGCACTAACTAATGTGATAACTAATCTATGGCATGGCTCGTTTCTCTGTCGGTTTACAGTACTTTTTTCTGAAGTATGTTCGGAAATGCACGTGTATATGCTACTAATTGTTGTTTTGCTTCAATAGAAGATGTATCGCAAAGATTTTGAAGAAAGCCTCAAGGGAAGGCCCTCAATGGATTTAGACAAGACCCCGGAGTTCTTGCATATGAAACAAATCACTAGCCTTCTGAAAGAGGTAGAGGATCTCTATTTACTTTTGCTTTTGTTAAAATGTAAATGCACAATAAGCAGCATCACTTGTGAGTGCTGAACAATTTACATTTAACAGTGTAGCTATATAAAAAGTGACTTCAGGAACAAGAATAGCAGTGTATGGTTTTATATTCTGAATAGTCCTGTAGCAAGAATCAATATTTTCTGAAGATTCCTTTATAAACATAAGGAAATGGTAAAGTTCAGCACACCTGAACCGGAAAAACAGAGTTAACTGAACAAATCAGATGACTCTCTAAAGAAAAAGGATTGTTGGCCTGATATTCTTTGTGAGGGCCTCAACTTTGGAATTTGTTCCTCCCCTGGGCTTGAATAGCCCAAATTTGGTGACCTTCCAGGCATGCTGCAAAAGACATCTGTTTGATAGGGTTTTGGAGAGGGCCAGGAGTTTGCTTTCCAGATAAATGAGGGGGTAGAAAGGAGGGTTTTTGTTTGTATCCAGATGGCAGTTTTTCCTTTTGAGTAATTATTTCATGTTTCTGATGATCTTTTGTAGTTAGATGGATGCCGTGAGCTTTGTGTAGGTCACTTGTTATTAACTATTTTAATTGAAATAATTATCTAGCACACATGTTAGGAATGGAAATGAGGAAAACTAAAATTCCATTATATAGCTCTAACCAGTAAATTACACGGTTAGCTTTAAGCACAGTTTTTTAGAAGCTGCCGATTCTCTGTATGCCAACTGTTTCTTTATTATTTGTCCAATGTTCTTAGGTTGAATGTGGCATTATAAATTAAATCATTACTGAATATGACAGGAAGCTGCTTCTTGTGCATTGAAATAATGGTTTATGATATATATGAATGCTAGAACATTTTGTCCATGACTTAGAATCTTTTTGTCTTTAGTCTTTTACTGTTTATTTATTCACAGCTGTTTTCATGTTCGGTTTGGAGTATTGGTTGGTTCTATACACAAAGCTTATTATTTGACCAAATTTGGGAACAAATATATCAGAAAATTCATAGTTAAAAATAAAAACGTCAGAGCTGCTGTATATCCTGCCTTTGAATTTGGGATCCAACAGCACCTTGCTTATATTTATTGTATTATGAATTGATGTTTTTACTGCAGCCCAGATAGCTAGAACTGAGGATGATAGAATTAAAAAACCTCGACCTACTTACTTTGGAAGTTCCTTTCCTTGTTCCTTAAATAACTTATCCAAGTTTATGCTAGATTTCGTATGGGGGAAAAAAGTCTTTCTTTTCAAATATTTCTTTATTATTCATCCACTAATAAATAAATTACTCTGAAAGTGTTAGCTGTCAGACAGACAATCAAGGTAGGTCTAGCCTGTGCAGTACCATTCTATGCATACAAAACTCTCTCATATGTCACATTTATGCCTGTTGCTGACGAAAAATGCAACAGATGATTGTATTTCACTGAGTTAATCTTGCTGCATGCTGAGTGTCCATGAAAGTGGTTAGTGCATAGTTACAGGTACGCTGTAAATTTACATCTTTGAAAACTTTAAGGTAACTTCACTGCATAGTGCTATAGGGTGAAGCTGTTCCTTTGTTCTTACCTCCTTAAGTTTTACTTCTCATTACTTAGGGAGTAATACATATCTGGAAGTCAAAGGGGAAGAATATGAGAAAATAAAAATGATAACAAATTTCAGATGATTTTATAGCCATATTCAAACAACAGATTCCCAAACCAAAGATTACGTAGGTCAAATTAATAGTTATTTTTCAGGATGCAGGAAAATAATTTATTGCTTCACAGTAAAGGATGTAGTTCAGTATTTTTTGTGTGAAGGTTTGTCATAAGCTTTACATAGATTAGACATTAGACAGGAAGGAAAACCTGGAGTTATTAAAAAATGAATGATTTTTTCAATTACTCTTTTTTTAAAGCATCAGCTGTTTCTGCTTCTTCTGTTGCCTTCCCACTGTAGAAAATTCTACTAATATTTCCCATTTTGTAACAATAAGAACCATTTTCTCTGTAATCACAGTTATAACTCCTGCAAAAGAGAGCACTGACTTTAATTTTTTTCTAAATTAATAGAAGTTTCCTGCTTGTTCTAGAGCATGCTTATGATGGTAAAGAGAGAACCTTCTTCAAATATACCTGGATTTTTTTGCTTAAGTAGAAAACTAACAAGGAGAGAAAGGTGTTTTCTATTTCTTGCAAAATTTAATACATGATTAAGAGCTTTAGTTCATGTCTTTGTAAACCCTTGTGAAAAATATTTTTTTCAAATTTCTGCCTATCTCCAAGTTTCTTTGGTTTAAAAAAAAGTAAAAAAATCCCTCAAACCTGGAGATGGAAAGAGCAATTAAAAATCCTTACAAACCTTAAAGATCTTTCACTTTAGTGGGGTTACATCACCTGTGGGGTGATGTGGAAGAGGAAGAAGGACCAAACATCTACAGGCAGATTCTACTGTGCTCTTAATTTGATACTGATCACTTGTGTATTCTGCAGGTTGCATTTGCTAAATGATGGATCTTTTGTCAGTGCAGTGTCTAAGAAAAGCACGAGGGAGATCGTAGGAATATTGCATCTAAATCATAATTTAGCAGCCAGTCATTTTAACAGGTCCTAATACAGAGTTTAGAGCATTCATCCTGATTTTGAAACTGTTAGTGGAACAGAAGTAAAAACTGCTGCACAGCAGACATTGGTCTTGTAAAAGCAAATGCTACTGCAGTTAAAATTTCTGCAGATATGCAACTGAGGCCCCTGAACAATGTGGTAGCACTGTACAGAAATGGAATATTTTTCAAGACTGCAACAGGAAATACATGGCTACATGAACATGTTTTGGAACATTGTACCTTTTGATTTGATAATTTCCAATTCTATTTTAACTCTGAAACCTGTACTTCAGCGAATTCATATTTCATAGACATTTCAAAGAGACCCTTCAAACATTTAATAAGTGGCATTTCTTTTCAAGATCTTGCACGAAATATTTAGTGGAGAAATCTTTCTTTTTTTAACTCCTTAGAAAGAGTATAGAAAAGATTTGGAAGAAGAGATAAAAGGAAAAGGAATGACAGTGTTTGAAGACACGCCAGATTTGATTAGAGTGAAAAACGCAGCTCAGATACTAAATGAGGTATGTTATGCTAGTCAAGGTTACTGATGTCACAGGAAGTTCACTCTTTGTGGTATACTCTATTCCATTTTTTTACATAATCTACCATGTTATATGTATGTATTGAAACTAACGCTATTTCTGTTTTGCATTAAGAGTATTAAAAAAAAATCTAGAAAAAAGGGCTCAGGACAAATATTCTAGACTTCCAGAGAATTAAAAGATCAACTGAAACTGTTGGTGGGGTCAGTAGATAAAGCATTTAAAATTATGGGTTTTTTGCAGCTTATTCATTTATTCAGCTAGTATAATTAATACTGTAATGGGAAAAGAGGTTAACTGTTAATGGACTTTTAAAGAAAAGTCAATTAAATGTTTTTTGGAATTATATGCCTGTTTTTTAAAAATAAATATTGGTTATGACTGTCAGGCTTCTTACAAAGAACTTTTATCCAGACAATCTGTTTCACTTTTGAAATCTTTCTTCCATGAGTAAAGCTGACATGAAGAAGTAGATTTTCTTGAGCTTGCAGTTAATCCTTTGCAAATAGATAGGTGGAGGCACCTTGCAGAGTATACATATTTTTAGGAGTGAACTTTGGTATTAACAGTCTAAGATGTTATGGAGGTTACCTCGAAGTACTGTAGTGTGGGACCTACTCCTCTTGAAGAGCTGAGAGTGGAGGTGGGAGACTCCTTGATCTATCACTGCACCTCTTAAAGACCACTTGGAGGAACTCATGGCCTAATGTGTCCTTGGCAAGGCTGTACGTTCAGCTGAGCCGCCCAAGCAATGAGGCTGGAGAGGAGAGGGGAAGCGCACGCTGTACTTGCACACATTTTGGAAGCCATTCTTTCAGAGCTATACAGATGTATATAGCGATAATAACCAGAGGGACTGCTGTGTATAGGGCTAACCTTACCCACCGTAAACAAGTGCAGAAATACATAACTCCCAGGGCTGTATTTTCCTTGGTGTTTTACACAGTAGGAAGCTCGGAAGAAGCATTTGCAATTCCACCTTCTGCACAAAGGATGTGTGGGATGACGTCTTATCACAGTGTTTAATTTACATTTTCTGCAAAAAATGTGGTTTGTCATGCTTATTTTCTCATCACAGTGAGACAGAGTTGGAAGACTTTCAGTCTTTTTGCTCTGCTTCTTGCTGCTTTATGCTGCAAGTGGTTAGGCTATTGTAAACAATAGAAATATATTTTCCTTCTTATTTTTTATTGATGTGCAACTTAAAAAGATCGTTAACAAATGGGAAAAGTAAGAAAAAAATATTTTAATCATATATATTTTGCAAAAATTACCTGTTTTCAGCAGGCAGAGATGAAGTATAGCAGAAGAGAATGTTTACTACTGTAGCAGCAGAAGTAGCAGTGCCTGAGAACATAACCTTTTAATTTTTTATATATAAAAAGCATCATTGTGTACAGTGTTTCAGTATTACATTTTAATATCATTTGCAGATGAACAAGAATTATATCCTTGCTTGGATAAGCTGAAGATGAAATATTCATTTAGTTTCCTCATTATTGGTTATTTATAATTTATATTATGAAGAAAAAGCAGCAATCATGGATGAGTGCTGCCACTTGTCTAATGGCTGTGGTTCAGGAAAGACCTATTAAATGAATAAATTACAACTTCCTGCTCTGAAAGTTCACTGGAAACAATTCTGTAGAGTACTAAATTTCTAGTATGTAGTCTTTTCATAAATAAAATATTTTCTTAAAAGTAAAATGTATTTGAAGTAGGCAGATGCCAAGTACCAGCTTATTACACTTTGTTCTACAGAGCTGAACTGCCCTTTTCCTTTAAAGGATAATTACAGCGAGCTGTACAGACTGAGTCCTCCACCCCCTCTGCCATATTTAACATTCATCGGTAGAGTTTTGCACGTTCAGTGACTATCTCCTGAAGTTTTGCTCCTATGGTTTGTTATGTGTTTTTGTGGCAAAAACTTGCCAAGATTCTTGCCAGTGACTCTGAACTTGGTAAACTCAAGATTCTGACTCTAAAATTGGATCTCTTGGGCAAAAATCTACCTGCAACTCTCTGGTTATTGTGAATATGTAGTTTAAAGTTTTATCTTCACAGAAACAATACAAAAAAGATCTGGAGACTGAAATTAAAGGGAAGGGCATGCAAGTTGGTCCAGATACTCCTGAGATAAAACGAGTGAAGAAAGCTTCTGAAATTGCAAGCACTGTAAGTACTGCACCTGGTGCAAGCTTTCCATTTGACAGAATGCAATAAATTATTTTCATGAAGAATTCTACATGGTGGCAAATCTAGGCTGTAACAATAACACAAGTTTCACCAAATATCTAGTCTGTGATCTGTTTAGACTCTAATGTTGCATAATCCTTGTTATGGGTAAAACATAAGAGCTCCCAGAACTTCAGCCCTTCCATTATCTTTTGCAAGTTTTCCTTACTAACCACACCTGGCCTCCACTGTCTTCTGTAGCTGCAGGCCCTGTTGCTTTTAGATCTCAGTAGCTGCTGCTTATTTGGGTAGGACCACATGAGACAGAATTAGATGCTAAAAGGCCTTCTGACCTTAGTCTCACAAAGCACAGCTGAGTGAGAAAGTCTCATCTAAGCATGTCAGTGGCTTCCAAAGTTGGAAGGACAGATCCGTGTGAAAGGCTGCGTTAAAAGCTATCTGTTAAAAGAACTTTTTAACCTGGCAGCATAGGTGTCTTGTAGATAGATCCCACAAAGATAATGTGATTGAAACATAAGTTATTTGGTGTTCTGTGGATACTGTTCAGAGGAACTGCAGAGACTAATGTAGGATCGATATAAAGATTGAGCTATCGAACGCCTGAGTATTTCCAATGTTATTCTTTACAGAAAGAATACAAGAAAGACTTGGAGAATGAAATTAAAGGGAAGGGAATGGGAGTGGGCATGGACACCCCTGATATACAACGAGCCAAGAAAGCTTCTGAAATTGTAAGCCAGGTGGGTAGAGAGTTGATGTACAAGATTACTTTTTAAGTAAAACGCAATGAGATTTTGAAAACATAAAAACTTTCTGAACGTGCTTGGGTTAAAAGGAATAAGTGGTGCACAACAAAAAACTAGACTGCAGACATCACGGCAATTCTTTTGGAATCTGATTAGCATTATCAGAATAACTTTGAAGACAGCACGTACAAATTACTGCAGAATTGGTTATGTTGCATACTTAGGAATTTGCTTCCTGTCCTTTTTTTTGCAGAAAGAATATAAAAAGGATCTGGAGACTGAAATTATAGGAAAAGGGATGCAAGTTGGCCCTTATACTCCTGAGATACAACGGGTCAAAAGGGCTTCGGAAATAGCAAGCCAGGTAGGCACAGAACAAAGACTGAACGTTTTAATTTTGCGTTAACAATGAGTCCTTGGCATACGCTGCTCAAAATGCTTCTTCTGTAGCTCTGTAGAGGCTTTTATAGCCATTTGAAATGAATTTACCTGTAGGAAAAATCTTGCAGCCTGATTCTTATTTATATTTAGGCCTGTCACACTATGCATATTTTAATTGTTTACACCTGCTTACAGGTGTGTTTACATTACCTAATGGGAAGGAGATACATATAGATATATAAAATATATATACCTCTACACCTCTCTTTCTCTCTATAGGTGTGTATATATATATTCTCTTCATTGTCCTGTGTTGAGCAGTCAAGGACAATGATGGCATGGAGGAGAGAGGATGAAATAAACACCATACAGGGCTGTTGAGGCTCATTAACAATAAGCACCTTTTGCTGTAGTTTGGGTATTCGGAGCCCTAAGAAAATAGGACATGCATATTTTTAAATTATTTTTCAGAAAATGTACAAAGATGAAGCAGAGAAGATGCTCTGTAACTATTCTGCTGTCCCAGACACTCCAGAGATGGAGAGGATTAAAAGTACTCAAAAAAACATCAGTTCAGTGAGTAATAGCACTTTCCCCTTTACTTGCAACTTTTCAGATACTTTCAATTTAAGTAGGCTCTCTAGTGCCTCAGCATGAAACAGGAAATTTATGAGTAAATGTCCTTTGAACCATTTGCATAATTTTCCTGGCAAAGGCTGTATCACTCATGTATTTCAAGGAAAAAAATACTCAGTTTTTCTAGGCATGATACTGTTACTTTGCATTGCTAAACCACTTACACCACCTTGCCAAGCCACAGTTATTTTTAATTGAAGATTGTTTTTCCTTTTTCCTTCAAACCCCAGGAAGTGCTTCATTAAAAAGGACAAAAAACCCTAAGGTTTGTTACTGTGCAAGTAAGATCTAGCATCTCTTTCCTATCACACGTACAGCACATCAAGATTCTGATATAAAATTAGAATAGATCAGGTTCATAAATATATCTAGCTAATGATTTTATGTTATACTGGATATATTTTTTTAAATTTTATGCTAGGTGTGAGTATCAGTTTATCCCTAAATGTAAATTGTGAGCTCAGATTTCTAAGATTGCCCACTATGTGTTTGTTACATATTCAGTTCTGTTCCCTTCTGAGGCCCATTAATTCTGCTATATGTAGTTCTAGCTGCGCTTGTAATGTAGCAGAGAAGAGGAGATGTAGAAGAAATTTAGCCTCTGGAAGCAAAGGCTATCCAGTTAGTGTCTGTTTTTCTGGCAGGCTTAGTTCAGTAACACCGACAAAGCCAATGATTTGAGAGAAAGGAGTATAAATTACTTAAATATATTAGTATTGTCTGACAGGGACGCGATTCCTTAGCTCAGAGAGATTCTTAGGTTCTTGACCTCCACTTGAGTACAGGGCCAGTGAGTTTTCCTCGGAGGTGTTGACCGGATGCCTCCGCACTGCAGCTTCCCTGGGGAAACAAGGGCCTGCAGGCAGAGGGGAGCCGAAGAAGTCCTCTCTGAGACCACCCTCGGCAGCGATCACTCCCCTAGTGTCTTCCTGCCATTACCTCCTTTTCTTCCTTCAGAGAAGAGCAATTGAAAGCTACATCTTTTCTAATGCAAACTGTGGAGAGGCCCAGTGCCCGGGTTTTGTTTCCTGTACTCTGTTGCCTCTTGCGTTGGAACGCTGCTTTGCTGCGTGTGGTGAAGGTGATGAGCGCCTTAGTCGGGCCACGGGCGTGCTGCCATGCATGTGTCCCCTTGAACTGACCGGTCACAGCGGGGAGCTGAGGTAGTCTCTACTCATCTCCTTCCCTTCCTGCCTCAGGCTTTCTTAGCATTAGACCCAGTCCTCAAAATAGATCTGCGGGTCTAAAATCTGTAATAGTATGGGCTCACTAATAGATACCAGCCACATAATAACCTCCCACTGCTTGATTAAGCCTTGACAAAGCTCTGTACGTTTGAGCCCCTTGCAGCCCTGTAGGCCAGTGTGAGCTTTCAGTGCCAAGACTGACAGTAGCCCTCTTTGTTAGCGTCCTAGGTGAACCGCTTCGAGGTTATTTGAGGCTATTTCATTTTGTGATCATCGTTTTCCTTTTTCTGCACTGGATCCTCCAAATGTAGGAAAGCAATTCATAGCTGAGATTGAATTACAGGTTTTTTTTCCTTTCTCTTCGCTGTAATCCTTGAGCATTCTATGCAATTTAGGTTATAAAAGTAAGTTACTTTTTAGTACTTGAGGTAGAACGGGGAGCAGTCCCAATACAGAAAAATTAAGACAATGACCCTAACAGCTTTCTGATTTTTTTGATTTTTTCTGAGGTATTTTCCTGCTCTAGGGGACAAAAAAAGTGGCTAGCTCTGCAGATAAAATCAGTGCTGCTTTTAGCTAGCTAGCTCATTTGGCAGATGATTTACAATAGAATCTTACTGCACAGTGATCTCTTTCATAGAAAAATTCTTTGCTCCAGTATTTTTTACCACTCTTTGCTTGATAGAAAAGCATATTTTACTTCAATCCAACGTGTAAATCTTTCTACCTTGTGCTAACATGTTTGTTAAGAGAAATTTTCAAGTTCATACTCCATAAACTACCTCTATTTTCACATGGTAAAGTTCCAAATTGTTGGAAGGTTTTCTGTATGTTAGATAATGAATTGTGTACATGAGTAATTTACTCTTCCCTGGAATATTTGGCAGTACTGGTCACCATAGGTTACAAAGAACTTTAAGGAATTAGGAGAAATGCTTCAAGAATGATGTTTTTTGTTTAATGTTTATTGAGAAAAATAAAAAGTTAAATGAAAGTTAAATAAATCTTGTTTTTAAAAAAGGGAGAAATAGTAAGTGGTAGAGATTTATTGTATGAACTCCAGGATCAGGCTTGTTTTTAAACTACTAGCCTGGAAATACTTACTGGAATGGCAACATCTGTGACACCAAATACTGAAATTCAAATAAAACTTCCTTAGGAGTTGTGCAGTCTGAACTGGTACTTCATGATTATTTAAATTATAGCCACATTTGGAATTTGTGGAGCAGTTATTTACTGTCTCCTTGAGTAACTTTGAATGATGGATTCTACTGATGGCCTTTGTGCTTTATCTTTTATTGAAACAATGGAAATAGAGAGGAGAATTGTATAGAGAGCATGTGTGTGTATCTTTTCAGAAGTAAGCTGTGTTTTTAGACACACTCCTCAGCTTTCTGGCTTGAACTCAAAAGTTGAGAATTGCAATTGCATGATTGTAGCTCTGGCTTTTCTGATTACTTAGTCATGAATATGTCGATTTCCTAGTTTGTTAAATTAGAAAGAATAATAATTATTCACTTCTCAGAGTATCTTAAGATCTGAAGATTAAAAAAAAATCAAGTCTTTCGTGTACATACATGTTTAAGTAATTACATTGAAATCAGGGAGATTACTCAGGCATGAAGTTGCACTTGTAAATGTTTATGACCTAAATTTTAGTATTATTTCTGAACTTAAAACTTTAGCATTGCAAAAACTTCAAAATATTTGAGGTCAGTCTAAAGGATAGCAATAGATTATCTGAGTTACATTTAAAAACAAACAGTGTTATTACTGTTACTGATAATTGGTCTGATTTATGAAAAATTAAAGTATTTGCTTTCTTAGCAATATTTATAGTTGGACCAATGTGGAACTTGGAAAATCGCCCAGCCCCTTTTATGAGAATTTATACTTGCATTTCTAAAAGTCTCATAATTATTTTTTTGGGGGGGGTGGGTGGGAAATGAAGGTGTTTTATAAGAAGGAACTAGGAGCTGGCACAGCTGTAAAAGAGACTCCAGAGATTGAAAGAGTAAAGAAAAATCAGCAGAATATTAGTTCGGTAAGTGTAATTAACATTAATTATCCTTACATGAATAAATAGAGTCAGATTTTTTTCTAGATTGTTCAGTAAAAATTCCACATTTTCATATATCACTGCCATATATCTCATTCAAATTCCACCAGAGTTTGGATGTAATGCTCCAATAACACTCTAATGGAGTTCTGAGTCTCAAAGTCGAGTTTTATACTGAAGTGTCATCAGAAATAGGAAATAAATATTTTAACTAAATATTTGATGATAGAGCTTTATTTTTTCAAGAATGAGAAAGATGAAATGTATTTCATGACATGGCAGACTGAACAGCGGTTGTAATTTGCAGTTTATAAAAATATCATATCACCAAAGAGAAAATCAAGAAGATAAAAATGGATGTCTTGATTCAACCTTTGTGAGAAGGTAGAGGGTTTGTGCTTCTTGACGTGCTGATGATGCGTTAAACTGTGCATCTGACAGGACTGCTGCTGAAATGATATTCTGAAGTGAATTATCTATGGATGCCTGACCTTTTTGGCACTTTAACTGACAACTAGAAGTAGAATATCAAAATGAGAGTTTTCTAAAATGTTTTTATGTGATAACTGTTATATATGTGGCCTAACTTGGAAAGAAATGGACAAGCAAGTGCAAAACAAGAAACATTTGTAACTGCATTTCAGTTGTTTGGAGCTTTCTGTGTGCTGTCCTTTGGAACAATTCTTTGTGACCTGATGTTTCTAATGATTAGATGCTTTCTTAAAAAGAAAATGTGAAAGTAATGCCTAGACATGACCTTAGGTTGTTGCTGGAGTGTATTTCAAATCCAGACAAGGCACATCTGATATTTACTCTACTAGAATTTCCTGGTTTACCAATTAATATTAAATGCTCCTTTTCCCACCAAAGTAAACGTAGGTAGGTAATTTCCATAAAATTTTGGAAAACTCACATTTTCTTTTGAATTTTTCTCTCCTCTGTGTATCACTTTTCATCTTGTCATATTGAGTCACAAGGTAATTCACAGATTCAGTGCAGGTTATCACATGTCCTAAATCCAGTAGTCTGTTTCTATGTGCTGACTTATTGTTTCTGGTTGGGAAGTTGTGGGTTTGGGATTTTTTTGTTTTGCCTTTTTTTTGGCCTGTGCAGATATGTTTCTTTCTGAGCCAGATTTAAACTCATGTCCTAGAAACAAAAATGTCTCTAATTTCCAATTACCTCAGTCATTTACTTTAAGACTAATCACACATATGCACACACATACACACAGCGAGAGGCTTATTGAGAGTAATGTTACTTTAATGCTTTTTTCTCAATGTCCTTCAAAGTGAAATGGAAAAATAATGTGCAGTGCTCTTGCTGTTTTAGAAATCAACAGTGGTGATACAGGGAAAACAAAAAGCATGTCAATATGGTAGTAAACACACTTGACCAAGAGCATATCAAGAGAAATGTAAAATGTGGTAGTGGTAAGTAACGTGGCCTTAACATTGCTAGCCTACGTGAAAAGTTAATATTGTACACAAGATACTTTATTTTATGTATATAGTATACGCAAATTTAGTTTGGTACTGTACACTATTTATTAAAGGTTCATTAAAGTCAGGAGGACTTAGGACAGCTTTAAAACTATTTGCTGACCTAGATGAAACCTTATGGAAATTGAAGCTCATATGCAGTGCAAGAAAGCCAGGTAAACCAGGAGACCAAACCAAGATAAAGATCAACATGAAACCAAACCATGCAAAGAAAGTCCATCGTGTTCAGTGTATCATGTTCTGAAAGTGATCAAATTCTTCCAGATAACATACATTGGAGACAAAACTGAGAACAGTTTATTTTCAATTCTTAAAAAAAAAAAAAAAAAAAAAGATGGTGGTGACAGCCAAGATGGTTCATCTCATCTAACCTGTTGTGATGACTTGTTAGGAAGAAACAGCCCCCTAAATAGTTGGAGTCAAGATCTCATAGAACTTCAAAAGCAAGCGTTATATTCACGGACTGTAACTGAATTTGAACTGAGAAGCTACAAATAACTAAGTGGGTTTTTTTAGTTATTTATTTTGAGGGACAGGATGCATCGGACACAGCTCTGGGAAGAAAATATTTGGGTAAAGATTTTTGTTTTGTTGTGTGTTTTTGTTTACATAAAATCTGTGAAGAAACTCCTGTGATACAGTTCCACAAAGGCTGGGAGCTGATTAAAGCTCAAGTAATGGACATTTTGAAGCACTTTTAAATTACTTTAAGGACTGGTAGCACTGTCAGTTTTTAAACTTATCTTTTAAAAGACCCTGTATCCAATGGGTTGGTACTTCTGCCAATCCACAGCTGTCTGAACTGAAATTTTCCACTCTTGTCTGTGCTTTGAGCTGTTTTTGTTATTTCCCCTTTTTTAATTTTTTTTTTAAAATTTCAGCTAAAGCAGTTTCCAAGAATGAGGCTAGAGAAAAATGTTTCACCTGTGTTACAAAAATTTGGCTATCTCCAGCAGTACCATGTCTTGGAGAAGAGGTGAAATTTATCTAGGAGGTGACTTTTGGTACAGTGGATTTGGGGGGGAAAGAGACTAGGGCTGAGGAGTTGAAAGTGTCGAAGGGCTTGGTCAAAGCCAAATTGGAGAAGCTGACTGTGGGGAAAGATGGGTGGAGTGGTGTGTTCTTATTCATAGATGCTTCCCTCCAGACCTGAAGCAGAACCCAAGACTGTTTAGATCCGTCATGTCTTTACTGTCAGCATCTATCTACAAAACCCTTGGGCAAAATGTTTTTTCGTTCTTTAACAACGGTATTCACAGAGGTAATAATCTATGATTGTTCTTACGGGTTTGTGCACTCAAGCTGAACGGCCTTATCCTACAAACCAAACAGGGTTTAAGATGAAGGAACAGAAAGGAATGTGTGTTTGTGCAGGGTTCTCCTCCCTCCCTCCCCTTTTTTATTTTTAAATCTTGAGAAATTGCCTCCCCAAGAGGAACCTTTAGGGGATATTATTGAGGTCACTAAGGCAGTACCCAAAAGCGCAAAGCCAAATTCAGGTCCCTGCATGTAGGGCTGATCCTAAGTATATGATTTTATACTGTGGCATTGAGACGTCTTCTCTGGCTTTCGATTTTACAAAGTACAGTTCTATGGGAATTGTCATTTGAACGCGAGTGCTATATAATCCTATGTCTCACTAAGTAAGGGCCATTGACTCTGTGCACTGAATGAAGTAGAATTGTCTTGAGAAAAACAGTTTTTGATAATAGACGAAGAAGGTTAAAAAGCACTTAAACAGGGAAAAAATGAAGTAGTATACAATATACTAAATACTCTACATGGAACATATTTACACAAAGGGTGGAACTAAGATTACATTTATGAAGTTAATAGTGCCATTTTTCTGATTTTTGAGTGCTGGATTTTGCAGCCTTAAAAATTTATTCAAAATAAGTTTTGATTGCCACATAAATATGAAACTATACAAATTGATTCATTATGCTGTTCCCTTGCTCTTACCATTCTTTACTTCCTTGAGTCTGGCTAATAAAAAGTGTTTCCATGTAGTATATACTACTGCACATACAATTCTGAATGTTTTTATAATTTTGCTGTTTTATTACCATTGTAAAGAACAAGAAAACAGGCCATATTACTGTACAGGATGACATGATCTATGAATATTGTTTATATTACAGTGGAATAAGAGATATGAAGCTCAATGTACTGAGTACTGCACTGATATTTAGTAATAGGCAGTAAGAAAAAGACATTGCACAGACTTGTCCAATATTGCACTATTGGATAGCATATAGAAAACCAGAAAATATGTTGCCTTTCTTTCTAATAGCACATCTGCTTAACTTCACACTCTTTCTCATTAACTTGAATTCCAGTTGTGGTACATATGTTGTATAATTGAAGGAGTTCCTCTAGTTTTATGCATCTTTCCCGTATCCAAACATACAGCTGTTTAAAAGATTAAATATGGCAATAGCAACACTAAACATACGACAGTATCTTCCAAAGCATTGTCGATTTCTCAGCGTTGGAATCTGAAGAACTGCATTCTCCACTATGTGTCTATGTGCGTGTTTTTGAAGAACTTGAATCAGACTTTGAAGCCATCTGCCCTTTTAAGGACACGTCTGTGAAATGTTTGGTTCCTGTAATGGACTGGTAGGCTCCCTAGCAAGCTACTACCAGCCCAAGTCATTGTTAAAGCGCTACACATCTCCAAGTGGTATATGCAGCATTCCAGTTATCATCAAGGTAGCCACAATCCCAGATGATGTTTACTCCCACAGTAACAGTCTTCAGATACCAGGCTTGTTATATGTGCTCTGTGCTGCATTATAATAAACAAGATCCATCCAAGAGCCTAGCAACCTGTTTCAAAAATTAAACATAACTGCGCCTTATCAGGTCAGGAGTGCTGGTAGGTGTGGTCTAGCTGTGCACTTAAGTGTAAGGGAAGGATTACAAAATGTTTGTTGTGTTTTAGTGCTTGTCTACATCTCCTTTAAGGTGCTAACATTTTGTAATATTTGTTGTGCAGATTAAATACAAGGAAGAAATTCAACATGCAACAACTATTTCTGATCCACCCGAACTAAGGAGAGTTAAAGAAAACCAGAAGAACATTAGCAATGTGTGCTCCACATTCATTGCTTGCCCTTTTCTTTGTGCTGAATTAAATGTGTTGGTGCTTCTGTGAATAAGTCTGTGATGTTTGTGCTAGTTCCTCTTTGTCCAGAAAGACTAATTTAACCAATTAACAGTCAATCAATAACTCCTTAGCCTTGCACTTTGATTAACGTCAATAGGAGTGATGTATTCCTGTTGAAGTATCAATTGTCTTGATGTCTGAAATAGAGGGAACTGCAAGAGGGTAAGTACTAAGTATCATGTGGAAAGATGCGGGTGTTTGTTAAGGAATCATATTTTCCAGCTAAATGCAGTGTGCTCTCTAATGTTTTCTAACACAGTGATGTACTTCTGTTACTTGGAAGTCTCTGTATAATGTCTTATGCCATGTTTACCAGGTTCAATACAAAGAGCAGCTCTGCAAAGCTACACCTGTGACCGTCACCCCTGAGATCGAAAGAGTCAAGAGGAATCAAGAGAACGTCAGCATGGGAAGTTGCTCTAATTTAATCCTTTCTATAATTTCTAGGGACAGAGGATGGGTTCAAAGATCTGCTTCCAGAAGCTGTATCTTTTCTTTAGTTAAGCACATGCTCAGTAATGGAATTACTTGAAAACCATTTCCTAGGAAGCGTTTGTGAAAAGCTATTGCTTGGTTCAGGAAATGGTGTGTGAAGTGGCACATTCTTGATTAAAGAAAAGGCTGCAATTTTTTTGAAATGTTATTCTGCCTTGGTTATTTGTAGGAAATCTTGACTTTTTTTTCTTTTTATAAAAATAGGGTTTTTTTTTTTAATACGATTAGCTACAGTTGTACTCAAACACCAGCTCTCTTACCTGTCTCTTTCTGGTTCCTCAGTATCCTTCATGTCAGAGTTTAGTATTTAATGACTGAAGTAACCAGTAGAAAATCCTACTTTTAGCAGGAGCACATGGGAGAAGGTAAGGAATTTTGGAGCACACTTTTGCCTCCTTGCACTATTGAAGCTTTATTTTGTTAACAAGTCTTTGAGGGACCAGCCATTCTCCTCCTTGGGACTTCCTTCATGGGGCTACAAATAACTTCAGCATTTCCCTGGGATATTTTCTGCCATTTTCCCCAAATTAATTGTCAAGAATACTGTCTCTCTAACTTAAGTGTGTGCTAGACTGTTCTTAGATTTATGGTGATGCATCCAGTGCTCTTAAAATGTATGCTATTCAAAAAACCCAGTTTTCCAAGTGATTCAAGCTGGTCTGTATAGCTGTCCTACTTGCACCATTGTTTACCTTTGACCAATTTTTTTGTTGTACAAATTTTATTGGAAAGATTAAATTCTCTTCCAGGTCGCTGATGAAAATGTTGAATGGCTTTGGGCAAAGATCGTATAACTTCAGACCTTTCTAGACACTAAGTCTTGAATAATCATAATACCTTTACAAATGTCACTTTGTAAGTTTTAATCCATTTGACAGTTTACTGTCGTTTTGATAAGATGTCGCTTTTCACCTGGGATACGTTGATGGGGACAGATCAGAGCTGGGTCACATGGGGAAGACAACTATTTGAAGAATATGCATTTTAATGCCACAGTGCACTGCAGAACTGTGAACGTAGTATGTCAGCATAGCTATCCTTATGATACAATCATGAGAGCTTATAAAAACATTCTGCTTTGTAAGGAAACACTTGTTTTATATAGAAGTATTTTAATTGGTATAAATCATCCAAGCATCTCTAATTATTAACTAACTATATACCATATCTGAGTTTCTAGTATTTTGGACCAAGGCTAACGTCAGACTGATTGGTCAGTCCATGTCACATCCTGTCATTTTTCCTCTTTAGATACTGATGCTGCCTTGAGCATGCATTTACTTAATGTATCATTGCTACAAGTGTGCTTCTGTGGAAAGTGACAGAGGGGGTATATCTAAGCTGAAAGTGCACTTAAATAAACACTTGGTGAAATTTAGATAGTTGGGTTCATTTCACAGTCATATGATGTACTGCATCCACTGTGTTTAATCACCTCTAAGTAGACACAGTGCAAAAGTTAGAACAAGGATGCTGTCCTTTATGGGATCTCTGTGTGTGAACAACTGTGCATTTACAGCAGGCATTGCTGAAATTGAGGTTTTCACTTGCTCTTACTGAATTCACTACATTATTTGTGGCTTACCCCATTCCAAACATAAGGTATTTCTCCATACTGGCAAATGCTAGTGTGCTAAATGTCAAGGTGTTGTTGTGTGCCTATGTGTGTATATATTCACACAAATGCATTAAGACTCTACAGAAGGAATTCAAGGTTATGGCACAAGAATCAGGTTTTATAAGCTTTAATAAACCTCAAATGCATTTTAGCCTTTCATTTGTTTCCTGGATGACCTTTTAAATCATACATTTTAATGTAATACAATATGATACTGCTTTAGCTGAAATAGTACGTACCATTTTATTCTGTTAAATAATAGGTTCACTACAGAGAGCATCCTGGCAAAGCTACTGCTGTGAGTGTCACTCCTGAGATAGAGAGAGTCAAGAAGAATCAAGACAATATCAGCTCGGCAAGTTGTTTGAATCTTTTTGTCATTTTTATTTTTCAGTCATTGCAGGAAAATAACAAGGGTATGCTTTTCCATTTGGATTTGATGTGTCAAATGAATCCAACTGCATCATCCATTGAATGGATTTTTTTTATCCTTTGAATATATATACTGCACCTATGGGCAATAAAAATATTCATACTTGCCTGATTATTCTTACAAAAATGTAAGTGATGTGTTTCAACCAGTATTTTTCAAGGAGAAAGTCATTAGAGATCAGTCATTATTCTTTCAAGAATCTTTATCTCTTGCTACCAAGTTTTAGTTCACAGACTTCAGAAGTAAATTACAGTAAAGGACAAGGGAAATGAGAATCTAAATTTGATGAAAATTTCTTTTATTATTATTCTTATCATTCTTGTTATTATTATTTTGTTTTATGGTTCAAATCATGGAAGCATGTAGTCATCTGTTCCACTCTACAACATGCTGCATACGTCACAGCTGAGTGGTCCTAGAGAGATCCTATTGCATTAAACTGTAAAGAATGAGATGCTATATTTATGTCGGCTTTTATGACGATATTTAAAGTTTTTTTGATTTTTTAATTATTACCGTGGTGATATAAGCAGCAGCAGACAGTACAGATAGGGAGCAAGGGAGTAGTCACAGTAACGAAGTGATGTAAAGGACTAGGCTAGTTATATTACGGTTTGTGTCTCCAACGCTGAGACGCTACCAATGACAAAACCCCTACAAATGGTAAGCGGGACTGGCTTCCATGCAGAGCCACTGTCTCAAGGTGATAGGTGAGAGTTAATAGTAGTGAACGCTTTAAAATTGAGTGTATGAGAGGAAAGTAACATAGGTTGGGTTTCATAAGGTTTGTCTAAGTACAAAGCAGCAAAAGCTGACACTGTAAATGACTATGTATGTCTTAAGTATATCCCTAAATGCTGATGTGTATTTACCGAAGCCAGCTAGTTTTGATGTACTTAATTAAAACTAAGAAGCAAACTCTTCAACAACTGAGGAATTTAAATAATTTTGTCGCTTCTCAAAATTAAACCTTTTTCCAAGTGACTCCTTCACTTTGTTTCTCAAGATTTACAAGGATAAATGTCCATCCATGTTAATGAGCAGTACCTAATGACCTTTGCAAACTGTGTGGGCAATAATTATTCTATCCATAAATTATTAGGACCTGGTCCTTATATTCTAAAGCATGTGTGGCTGCATATATTTGCTAAGAAAATTCATTCTTTAATTAAGAAAGGTATGAAAAGTATTCAAGAGCGTGTATTTCTGTTTCTCCGTGCGTTGCTCCAAATTTACCTAGAAAATACAGATACCAAGGCTTATATTTTCATAAGTTTATTGTGCTTAGCTAATATGGGTTTTTAAGGGCAGTCAGACAACCTGACTTCTTTTGAGGATCTGAGACGGATATATTCACTAATGTGTCCATTAAGTCTTTGAAGGTCTTAAGTCTTTCTCTCAGCACATTGAAATAGATTTGCACAACTGATTTGAGAGGTAATATATTTGAGTGTGAATGTATAGGTATCTAAAATGATATTTACTAGCATTAAGAGAGCCCAGTAGTAAAAGAACAACACAAAAATGGCAGTGAAATTTGTATTCAGCTAGCCAGTGGAAACTTTAAGGGTATTCACTGCACTCAGCTACTTTTACTGTTTTACAATTTTAAGAGGGTTTTTTTTCCCAAATAATTAACCTTGTGTTTATACTTCTAGCACAAGTTGGTAAAAGTAGACGCTAATTAGACACACTAATTAGAAAAAGTGTAACATAGGAGGTTCTGTACTTATTGCTGCACACAAAACAGAGCCCAAACGTTCTCTTTTAAAACAACACGGCATATTGAGATTTGCTCCAGATACATTGCTTTTGTGCTGCCAGCAAAAAGGCCAGCTATCAAACATGAATATGAAGCCTGCCAAAAGGGTACTCTGCTTGTAACAGTTCAGTTCCCTAGGGACCTGGGCTTCTTACCTGGAAGCAGACTGAGGATAGAATCTGGATCTGTCTAGGTAATAAGAAGATAGCTTATCCTCAGCCATACAACTATGTTTCAAAGATGTTCAAGAGAAGTCAGAGTGGTGTTTTCTTACTGTCTTGACCCTAACTTGTAATCAATTATAGGTTGATAAATGTACAATTTCACTTATCCCATTAAAAAAAGCCAAGAGTTTAAACTTTCAGGTTACTATTTTCTGAGGAAGTGATTGCTGGAATAAATGTACCTTTGATCTTACCAATATACTAGCTCATCTATAGCTTCCCTTTAAAATAAATCAGTACCAAATGAGTATAAGGAAAGAAACAGGAAAAATGTTGGGCGCTGTGGTTTGGATTGGATGCCTTTGCGTGGTGTAGTACTCGCTATCCCTTCTACTATAAGTACAAACTTCACGTGTGCTGTTGTTGCTGTTTTGCAGGTCAAGTACAGCAGTGATCACAGGCAGATGAAAGGTAGACGTAGTGTGATTCTAGACACACCTGAGCTAAGGCATGTCAAAGAAACACAAAACAACATCTCAATGGTAGGGTACCTTCTTCCTATAACTAGTGTATACTAAGGAATGGCACTTGACTTTCCGCTGGATTTTGCCTTCCATTAATATAGGTAACTAATGAAACTCTCTGCTAAAGTATGGAAGGAATATTTTTCCTCTTATGCCTGT